TACCGAACCTCATTTTTACTGGAAATTTGGCTGCACTTGCTAATTTAATCTTGGGATATGAGTGAATCTTTGTCTACATTTAATTCATCGAACAGCGACTTTATTTGCGGTTTAGGGAAATTGTGGTTGACGTGATCACGTAGTCTGTTGCCTTTACGGACTTCACGCCGATTCATAAATACAAATACACGAGCATGCTCTGAGGAGTGAGAGTTAAAGCACGTGAAAGCTGGATTCCATTGCCAAAGTCCGATTTTGTACAGCCTCCACGTCGCATTGGCTAATGACTTTTCGGCTCGCCGTCAACTGTCGCCGTGATGGAATCGCGCGTCCTCTTGCGGACGACGGTGCTGGCGCTGATGGCGGACATCGCGGCGGCCCACGGGGGCGACGACGGCGCCGCTCGGGGCTCGAGTGAGGCCGCCTCCACGATGTTGGCTGGACTAAGCCCCCTTGCAGGTTCCTGAGTGGCGGCGGAGGTGAAGTCGTCCGCTGGCTTCGCACGATCTCTAAGAATAGTTTTCGCCAAGAGAGATGTGAGGCTAGGCGAGTCTGGGGGGCTTGTCTCATTCTAAAATGGGGGATTGGTTTAAATTGAATCCAAACGATACAAAACGGGAAAAGAAATCGGACAAATCATCACTTTGGAATACTCTTTTCGTGTTGCTAGTGTTCTTCGCTTATTATTGCCCCTTGTTAGCACACAAGTGGAATTGTGACCAAGCCAGATTTCCACCTTGCATGTTTCTGTTGCTGACCAAACAGAGGCCAGAAGCCACACAGGAACATCACGCCCCACCAATTGGGCTGCCAGCATACACCTGTGGTGAATCGTGTTGATTCACGTCCAATAACCCGGTCGTCGCAGCCTCCAACACACGTCCCTCCTTTTCACGGCATGCCCGTCAGTCACGTGAGGCCGCCGGCTCACTAACCCCTCTGCATGTACCACCACCACCACCCGCTTTAGTCACGTGACCTCATAGGCGCCGGTGTTTATTTTTACATGTCCACTCTATAGACAGAGTAGACGCGCGCACACATACACACAACTTGGTTGAGCCATCTAGTGAACGGTCGTGTTTGCCATCTGTTTACTTATTTTCTCCCTGGGTTACTTTGTGTAGTAAGGGACTTCACCACACAGCGCCTCGGTCAGATCTGACTTTTCTCCAAATAAAAAGAACACTTGGACCAACACTAGGACAAGCCCAATGCATTCGAAGTGCCATCGTAATATAAGGTGATTTCTGCCTATTTCACTGAGGCATTTTCCAGACGTTTTCCAGGTAATGTGTCGCAAAATTGTGGCTTTTTCATAGTTAAAATAAGCATTACAAACTCATATTTTACATCTGCGAAGCTCTAGTTCACCGTTTTGAAGTCCAATCTGAAATCGGGTTTGGTAAAAAAGTATTAGCACCAAATGCTTTGTCGTGGGATACACTCCCACTGCATTGCCAACTTACATTCTGCCGACCGTAATCGAGTACTCTCTTTTGTGCCGCAATTGATAAAAGAGTTTTTTGGGGAGTGGGAGAGGAAGGGGAACTTTCCGAAGCAGTGAAGAGAGGAGGAGTGTTGGAGTCCTTCGAGTCGATTCCGTCGGGGTCGCCATTGGAGACTGCGACCACATTCCTCCTTTGCCACTCGTCGATAGTTTGGAGCACGCTGTCGTCGACATGAATAGAAGTTCGCCGAGAAGTGGTTGGTTTTTCAGGTGTCTGTGGGACGTAGTAGTCGTTGGTCGTAGGTAAAGGCCATTGGCATCTCGATTGTAACTGAAACAAAAGTAACCGAATGCTGTGCTACAATGGCAAAAATGTTACTTAAATTAAATGCAGTAGCAATACAATAGTACTAACCGAATCAGCGAAACGTTGCTTCTCAGCCTGTGTTGGGTGACCAATAACTCGTGAAATTAAAGGTTCGTCTCCAAGCAAAAACATACAATGGTTCACCACCATTCGTCGTCTGCGTTGCATTTCAAATAAGGCCAAGAGCTTCCTGCCTTCAATATGACGACGCGATGCGGTTTCTTTGGACAGGGACAAGGGGGATTACGGCTCACCGATTCGGGATTCAATAGGCCAGCAATTAGGACGTTCTTTTTATCCTACGACCAAATAACCAGTCACCTTCAAACCAGAGCGCAAAGACACCCCCTGAGCTAGTATGGCCCAGTGAGTAGAAGTGGATGGCAAACAACCTCGAAAATCTACAAGTGTGGGTAAGCGCTATTTGCAGATTATTCTGGATTACGACTACATATCGTCCAGCAACCAGCGAATTGCACATTACTACACTAGCAGAAACAGCTGACTAAACGCAGAATAACAAAACAGTGAACTTTCGTGCTATTGTTTATGCCCAAGGGGGACACTCTCTAGTTGGGAATGCGGCTCCGAGTTTGACACCTTTCGGTGTCTGAGGCTCACAGTTCACCGCGGTTAACCCCTGCAGGGCTGTTGTCTGACACACGACTTAGCTCATGCGAATTAGACATTTTCAAATCAAAATGAGTTGATGTGCTAAGTTAGCAATAAGAATGCACTGTCTCACATCATACCTAATTTAAACTTCCACTCAGATCAAAAAGAATGTGACTGGAAAATAACTACAGTTGGAAAAGACGGTATTTGATACATATGCAGTTGAAAGGGGTTTGTGTAGTGATTATTTCAGATTACTGTTTGCAGAGTGTGATCGAGCAATATCTAACAAGCAGTAGCACTAAGATTAGCGTATAAATAATGGCAGAAACGTTTTTAACACAGGTTACGCACGTCCAGGCATCGTTATGCGAAAATTGGAGGCCTTAGTGCTCAACGAATGCAAAAACTAACAGAAAGTGAAATAAAGGCAACGTGGACACCAACTATTGCTAGAAAAAGCGGACTTGCCAAGTCAGCGAAAATTCAGAGCATAAAGGATAAGTACACTTAAACGCCTTCACTTCTAAATTCTCCCAGATGAATTTCACTCGAAGTGGGCTATCTGGAGGCGTAACCAAGGTGTAAGCAAGGAACCAATGCCTGAAAAGAACTGGCGTTCACGCGTTGATGCTCCTCTTAAGGCGAAGTGACTCCGCGAGGCTGCTTTAGCACACGTTTATTGCAATAACTGACGCACTAACACCAACTCTCATGCGGAGTGTGGCAGTGAAGGCTATCGATTAGGCTTTCTGGCTGACTATGCCACCGGCACCATTTTGCGTCTCACATCACTTCACTCACTCAACCTACCTGAGCCCTGGCGAAGGTATAACTGGGCGACGTGGAGGAGGAAGGAAAGGCCATGAAATTTCCAGGTTTGGGTTTGGTTATTAGCCATGGTAAAGCAAATAGCAGTAGAAAGTACATTGGTGTGGAACGCCAAGACCACCCATGATATCAATCAACAAAAAACCAAATAGGTTAGTTATAATTGCCTCACTGCATTTGGAGCCTTGCCAAAACCCCTTCGATGATAGTGAAGGAAGGCGTAAGTAAAAACAATAAGTTTCGACAAAAAGATGCCACAACTCGTGTAACCGCTACAGAGGAGCCGACGCCAAGGCATTTTCTGCAGAATCCTGGAACATTTGCTGACGATGGCCAGCAATGAGGCATTTGGCCAAGAATCACATCATAGCACTGCGAGGAAGCAGGTGCAGACCGCAACCAAGTCACAAAGCGGCTATTGTGACACATGTCGATCAGTGCGAAGCTAACTAGCAAATTACCAGTTACGGCATGGATATAAAGGCAGAATTTCACTAGCCAGGCCTGAAAAAATAATTCCGTGCATCCCCTCATTCGTTTTTGAAGTTCGGGGAGGCGACCAATGCCTTAAACTGCCAAATCCGCAATTTATGAATAGAAAATAAGCACCCTCTTACACACAGGTAATGAAAGAAGGAGTTGTAAGAAAGATGTGAGTCAGCTTAGTATTCAAATATGCTTCTTTTGGGTGTCCACTGATTGTTATGTTAAGCAAACACGAATCCATCAGGCACCTCTTCGCATGCTGACATGGTTTTAGCGTAGTCTACTAGCTAGGTTGACTGGGGCAAAGTCTGACACCAAAGTAATGCCCTATGTGCTGACGTTCCTGATTTGCGGGTGTCTGAAGCCAAATTCGTCCTGATTCCACCAAAAAAGTTTACGTCTCAATGCAAAGGAACATGTTTCTTGCAGTTAACGGAAAATGACTCTCGAAAACAATTCATTTACCGTCATCTTTTGATGGTAAAAAGCCATTTCGTTCTTCTCCGAACCTTTCCTACTTCCCAGGCCATTGAAAACTACGGCAAGTAGTAAACAGAGAAGATAACACGTCAGGCCATGGGGAGGTTGTTTCTACTTAGAATTAACAGTTTTTTTAGAAAGTTACACTCGAAATAACCACTGAAACGAATGGCACCGTATGCCAACAGTGGACCCAATTACAATTTTCTCTGATTCTTTAAAAGCATTAATTAGGAGGGAACAAGGGTGCTTAATACGAAGGTCCTCGATCAACTACTTCTGACCATGCTGTGCAAAAATTAAAAACTACCCATCGTCCAGCTATCACAACTTCTGGTAATAAAAGCACAACAGGTAGCACTTTTAAAATTCACCCTTTCAATGGTTACCTTGTCGTTGATGTCTTCTGTAAGCGCGTCAGTGTCCTGATTGCTTGCCCCTAACCACCATTGGAACCGAGGCAAGGTTTTCTCCTCAGTGATAAGCCCCGACAATTCGCCCGTTGATCCATTGTCCGATAGGTCAAATTTCGTCACAGGGGTTGTCGATTCGTTGAAAAATCCGTCCGATGCGTTCAGGGGTTCTTCAGGCGAATTTACCTTGAAAAGGCCGTCCAATGGTGACGTGAATAGACTGGGCTGCGAGTGGTTGGTGCCACTGCCACTTTCAGTCCCACCTAAAATGCTTGCATGAGCATTCCAGCGCCAAAAGGGTTAAGTAGGAAATTTTGAGACGCACCTTCAGTTCCTTTCCCCTCTGCGCCATCTTCGGCACGGCGTCTGTAAGATAAATATCAATCAGACTAAAGTCAAAATGGTATAAGCCAAGAAACATGTAAATTATAGAAAATCCAAAATAAGGGTGCCCATAGAGATCGCACGGCGGCTTTGTTTGAAATCTGCATTATGGATTCAGGCCGCATCGAAAGAAGCACAATTGATGGGGCGACATGACTCAATCACACAACACTTCCCCTCACTCCTGTTTCTACTAGCTTGGTTGGCTTGAACACCGGCCAAAATTTCTCTTGAGCTTGTACGAAGCCAGCAGCACTTTGGTATTCTGGCTTATTACTCCTAACGTAATAGTCAGTAGGACAGTAAATACGAAAACACAACTTTAAGTCCAAACATCTGTGTTACACTTACTGGCTTTTTTAGCAATTTAATGGGTGGAAAAACAAGACGTTGTGAGTAGGGGCGGGTGAGTTATTAGTATCTGCTGTAATTCGTCTATTAACGATGGTAAAACTTAAGTTGATTCAAAAGAGTGCATTTTCTGCAGTGGTAAACACGAGATAACACAACGTGGAAGCACTTGTGGTTATTAAAGAACACGGGAACACGAAAAATCATCACGTAATTACATGGTTACGCTCAAGTGACAACAAGCTGAATGTCATCAGCGCTCACAACTATGCCACATTATAAGTCCAGCAGTGCAGATGACTTCGTTTGGTTAGCCTACGAGGAAATCACAGCAAGAGAAGAATGGCGATGAAATTCGCAGTAAAAGTTAACAGGAGAATTCCTACAACTGCGCAATTTAGCGTCCAAGCACTCTGCGAAATGTTGGGAAAAACTAGACAACCATTTACAGTGAATATGGATAAGAAAAAAGACTTAAGTGGCCACATTTCCTGGTCGCATGGAAGACACCAAAATAAGCAAGGGAACCAAGAAAGTGTGTAGTGGACCGCGTTGATCCGCGTCCATCCCCTCTGTCGCCACACCCATCCCCCTTTTACACAGCGCGTCCGTGTCGGCCATGCGAGACGGTCTGCTCACGCAGACCTGTGCGTGTGCCCCTCCCACGCTGCCCCCTTCACTCATCTCGACATTCGGTCATGTGTAATGTCAAAAGTTCACCCAGACTACAAGGGTCAGCAGCCACACTAACCATGACTACACGCACACGACGGCAGCACAACCGGGTTGAGCCACCTCCTAAACGGTCGTGCCTCCGTCGTCTCAGGTCTTCTTGATTTTCCTGGGCATCAGTGTAGCGTAATCGGGCCAATAAAACGCAGTGGCCCCGAATTGTGGTTCTAGACCACGTGCCAGGGGCTTCAACAAATGCTTGGTGCAGTTACAATGCGTCTAAGCGAAAAGATTCGATGTTACATTAAAGGTAGTAAAGTTAAACTAGCGACAATTAAAGGGAGACAAGCAGAGCCTATGTCATCAAAACACCGTAAACGAGGAAATTGAATAAATCTTTGGATTAAACTTAGTGTTAAAAGTTTCAATAAAAAAACGGATTCCTGAACGCAATAAAGTTATTCAATCTTTTTAAACTTTCTATCAAACTGTTGTAAAAAAAACTTCGAAGGACGTTGATAAGTTTCATCAGTAGCCTTTCTTACAGCTTTAGGAGGCCATCCCACACACAGAAGTCGCAAATTAGTTACTGAACTGGTGACATAATGGTTGCGTCAACGTCAGTTTGTCTCTTCCATAAGCGATTGCTAAAAGGGGCGATACCATGACAAATTTATTACGTGAACGATGCGACTGGCCAAACCGTGATGCGTAGCACCGAAAATGCCGTCCATTACACCAATAACATACCCAACATCCAAAACAACTTTGCCGATTCCAATTGCTGTTCTCTCAAGTCTTCGACGGGCAATGAAATGCAAATACTTAAGTTCAAATTTATAACACGACTTGACAGTCACACACACAGAGAGAGAGAATGTTTTATAGAGTAAACTGCTAAAAACCACCCCAATTACATAAAGAGGTCTTTCGGTCAGGTTAAATGCGTTTGCTTTAAATTACGTGCAAAAAAATCGACCCTCAATTCAAACTATACCGTTGCCAAATGGACAAATGAAGCCCCGTCACCTAAAGATAGCCCAGAATTGGTGAACCGCAAGACCGGACATCACACCGTGCTGGTTCGCTGATATTGTGCGATCCCTTTTGTCCCACTCTGGATCAGAGAATCACCAACTCCCTAATAAAAGGTTGACAAACAATACGAACAAAACACTGTTGCGCTTAACAAAAACCTGATCTGATCCCCACGTATTAGCTGTAAAATTTCGCGACCTAGATTTCCAATTAATTCCTACCGCAAATAAAAAGGTTATAGTCTGATATCTTGCATTTTTGCTTCGGGAATTTATTCATTCTAATTTTTTTCTTCATATAATGACAAACCTAACTTAAAAGAATCTTCTTGCCACTGAGATTCTGGAACAAATATCAACCAAAATTACAAGAAAAAGCTTTAAAACACAGTCGAGTCAGTTGGAAGAAGCGGTGCTCGAAGTGTGATGACCATATTGACGTACCCCACCCACCCACCCTCCACAAATTCATGCCTACCTTATAGAATTTAGGAGGGTGCTGTGTGCTAGCTGTTCCCACAGAACAGCGTCTTTCATGTCCCTCAGCATCGGTCGAAAGTGGCCCAAGTGAAGGAAGCAGCCGACAAGGTGCTCTCTGCCCCACCTGAACAAACCTTTCCCAACTACCAACTGTTATGAGTCCTGCAGAATTGTTCTGCTTGTGGAAACTCATTGGATCTAAAGCCTTGCCAAAACTGCTCGGATCAATTTGACACTGGGCACACAAACAAAGGAGGATCATCGAGAAAGGCACCTTACATTTACATAATCACATGGGTTTCCAATTTCATTCGGTGAACGAGACACGAATGCGCTGGAAATCAATGAATTCCATAGCGTTTGGAGAACTGATAAATGAGAGGACGGTCAAAGTTGTGCTTATTTATTAACTTCATCCTGAGTCTTAAAAACGATGCTCCAAATGGAAAAGTGTCATATCGTGCACAAATTTTCGACTTTGGTCTTTTTATGGCTCGCCAAAAGGACACCTTTTTAATTATTTCACTCGTAAAATATTCGCGCTAATTGAAAAAAGTAGTGGCAAACAACGCATTTATACGAATATCGGAAAAGAGTTAAATTGCAGCAGTTACACTTTGAAACTATTGAGTGTATAATTTGCTTGACCACGTGGTCCTAAATACTGCACAAAGGAATGGAAATTTCTAGGCATACTCACAGCACCATCGACGGATTCTGTAAATGCACCGGCGTGTCTGAACAGGCAAGCGGTCGTCTAGGCTTAATTTGCCACCACTTGGACTTTGTCTTCTCCTTCGACTGTTCGTAGTACACGTCACCGTAGAGCAGGATGCTCTCTTCACCTTGACAGCTGGAGATCCGGTTGGTGTAGTTCTTCCGCAGGTCGCCCACAAACTGCCACGGAAGAGGAGCGATTTCATACACGCGACGGATGAAGTCCCGCGTTTCCATGCCCGAACGATCCGAACCCTCTGCGATCTCTTCCATCCACCGGTTCATGCTGGAGTAAAATGAATCAGCCGAGGTCAGCTTCATGAGGTCCCTTTAAAGTAGAAAGAAGGGCACAATCGGGTGAAGAAAGAAGGTGCATTCTAGTATTCTCAGTGCACTGAATTGCCGTAATTGGCGTTAATTGCGGTCCTTCATGAATGTCCTGGCTTGTCGATCATCCTGTGCACTTTGACTTTGATTTTACCCGTCATCTGACGCTCATTATTCAAGGCCACCAGCATTCACCACTAATGTAGGTCTGCATTTGATAATGCGTTGAGAGATCGGGTAAAGGTTTGAGTCACTGTCTTCTTACTGCCTCCTTTCAATGACCACTCCGCGTCTATCTTGTTGGCATAAGAGCAGAACTGAATTGCAGCCAAAATACGTCTGCATAGTCAACTGATAAGGTGGAATCGATTGCCACACTTGTTAATGTGTACCATGTTTAATAAGATCACATAGTTGCAACAACTTACAAAAAAAATTAAGGAATTCATAAGCAGTTGCTACGTCAAACATTAGTGTGCTATCACATTGAGAGCCTTTTGAATGGTGTGACCAATCAAGTAGCACTGCGTGGTTAATCGTATTTCGTTCACTTAAAATGCACTAACGGAAATGAATCATAATGAGTCAAATCAAGAGCGACAATGTCAACGTTTCGCACAATTTAAGCTTCTGAATCTAACCAAACGCATTAAATTCCTTGTTGTAGCACCCAACATTCACCAATTTTTATGCCATCGCAGAGTAAAATTGGTGAATTGACTGTATCAGACCTTTCAATTTGTACCATGAAAAAAAGGAATAATTTATGAATTTGGAAGACGATTTTCAAAGTGAAAAGTAAGTCCTATGAACCAAAAGATACAAAATATGTGTTTTTTGAATGGCAGTACCCTGTTCGTTACCATGGATTGCACAACTTTCAAAAACCTACAATATTCATTTCGACAACAATGAAACGGAAATTATTGGAACACCCGTGGCAATCTTGTGTGGCCGATTGTAGAGGGTGCCTGACACAATTGGTAAAAAATTCACAACTTTGTGCAGTTTAGGACAAATTTTATGCGATGACATTTTGCGGAGTTTAACAAATCTTGGTGAAACAAAATACAATGGCTTCGAATCTGACACCTTGTCAAATGTTTCGGCGCTTTTCAAGGACAGGCGATTCTTTAACTAAACAGTCTTGTGATTTCTCGGGAAGAAAATCAGATGGTAATCTGGACCACCTTATTGAGACTTTCATGCATTGTAGACTGATGCACTCGAAGTAAATTTAAGGCGACACTGAAAAGAGTTTTTTTTTTCATTTCCTTCCACGATCGCTTAAGCCGCTTTTCACCTACTCAAGACACAAGCATTATCGAATATTTTGCCTTTTGACAATGTAGGTGTATTTTAAGAAATCTCAGGCCAGAGCACATTAACCGAAATATCCGAGCGTCCCACCGAAGTCTTTCGAACTTAGAGGAGCGCCAGAGTTGCTTTTAACGAGGTGGCTGGTCCTAACTCTCTTCTGCTTTTTCTAAGTTGAGAACATTGACAATACGACGAAGCCCCGGTGATCAGAACTAAAGCAAAGACTCATGTTATCAACTTCGACATGGGACGAAGGCAACTGCGTAGTGAATTAAGTTATGAGAGGAAACATTTTGTGACCACGGTTGTCTGGGCTCTCAAAATCTGGCAAGAAATTTCAGGGAGGAGCGGTTCAGTCTGAGCCAAACCGCGTCACTTACAAAAGGAACTCATTGCAACCTACAATAACCTTCGTCACGTGACGCAGAAGTCAACTGGGAAAGTGTTAGTGATCAAAGGATACATTTCTACCGGCTTGCAGGTAAGCAAAATGGCCTACTCTGAGAGGATGTCCATCACAACAAGGCCGGCTCTGAGCCCGACTTCTGAGCCTTCAAGGAAGAGGGCATCCCAGGTCCGCAGAACAACGTCCATCGGGAGGCATGTAGAGAAGAGGGTTAGGAACCACTGAATGGCGTACAGATTTGTCAGTGGGGGCTCAGAGGAGGACTTCGTTGACGCGATGGTGGAGAACTTGGGGTCCTCGACGGCTAATGTAGATTAAGAGGCTTCTGGTAATACAGTTTAAATTTCTGCAGCTATTGCCTATAGTCTATTTTTTTGTACTTAAAAAACCTGAACTCGTTGAACCGGTGCATATATAAACGGCAAAATAACGCTTCACACAAGTCTTTCAATCGCAATCCAACCCGTTGCAAAACTGCAGAAGTAATATTCGCCAAATATTATGGAATCATGGATGCCGAAGATTCACGATAACCTCCAAAAGCGAAATACCGCTGTTTCTTTTGATGTTAGGTTACTTTAGAGAAAGACACACCCCGAATTCGTCTTCTGTACCCCATACTAAAGTACACGGTCCCCAAGACATATTTGACTGGCATTCAATGAACAAAACCAAGTTCGCTTGAAAATCACGTACGATTTAACAGTGGTTGCAGACCAAGTATTTGGAATGCAAAGCAGTATGTCGATCAGAGCGATCAAGATCATAACCTAGATTATGTATATAAGTGTACATTTGGCACATCAATGCGGCCATGACGAACTTCGTTTTTGTGCTTTGAAATCGATTAGGCCGAAACGTTTGGATAAAATGAGCTTCTGTGCCACAAAAGTCACGATCTAGTCGGCATTGGAGATGCGAAAAGGAGACTTGGGGAATTCCATGCTGCCTACTTGAAGGAAACTGGTAGAATACCTACTAGTCATAGTTGGATCTTGCCAAGAGATGCTGAGCACAATCTCTTCATCTAAAATAGCACAGATGGCTCCCAAACGTATCAGTCTAATTTACCCCAGTTGCCCCCAAGCCGTCTCATAAACAATAAAAAAACAGGAGTCAAAAAGGCGTTTGTTAATGGTAATATGCCGTCCTATCAGAGGTTGGAAATCTAGCCTAATAAAACAGATGTATAGCCAATGAAAGATAACCAGTTTATTTAATAAAACTGCGCATTTGAATGTGTTGACAATCATCATGCTGGCGATATGACCAGAAGATCTGAGTAAAACCACCATACGGCAGATATACTTTCCAGAGCTGCTAACTCTAATTACATTCCGTCTAAGGAATGGTAGAAGCTAAGGAGATCCGTGGTAAATTGGACTTAAGCGTGTCCAGTCCCGCAGTAGGTTTGCAATAACATTAGAAAACTAGTAGTGCTTGAGGAGGATTGATGTCACTGAAGTATACTATTTTCCAAATTATCCATGGATGCATAATAGGTGAGCAAGTGTTCCCACTGGCGAATTTGCGTTTTCGGAGCCATACGTTGTTTGAATTCAATCATACAATCATGGTGGACGCCATCAAGAAAGGTAAAATCAGATTTGTGTAGCGCGTGGAACTAACCGGCATCCTCCTGTAGCTTCTGCAAATGTGCGGCCAGTTCTGGTTGACGAACAGCCAGTAATTCCCTGAACACGGCAACATCGACGAACAGAGCCTGCAGGTTTCCTGTGAAGTAGGACTCAGGGAGTACAAAATCAATGAGGAAGATCATAATCTGGCAAAAAGAGAAAAACTCGAACTCAGACGTGCAACCCAATTCACTTCGACGCCTTATTTGTCGCTATTGAACACGAATATCGAACATCAAATATGCCGACAGTCACAAGTGCAGAAATTTCGTTTAAACTCCCCCAAACAAAAGCTAGAGGTTATACAAATACGCAGTTCAGAGATCGTGAATAGTGGTAGGTTAGCTCTAATCCAGTACCGCCCTGTATCCCTCTTTCCCTTCCCTCAAGCATATGTGAATGGCGTTTTCAGTGGATACCATCGCTTGATAGATTCCTTGAACTAGGAAATAGATGTTACCATTTTCGACAAAAAATGTTTAAAGTTTGACAGACCATCAGGCATTTGGTGAGATCACTGGCATTACAATTGATTAATATGTAAATAAACTAGTCAACTAATACTTTGGTTGACAAGATAGACGAGTTCCGCCTTCCCTCCCCCCAAATCAAAGATTTCACTAGTCGGTACCTTTAGTGCCTCCTCCTCATTCCTCTCCATGACATTTAGAATAACAGCTGCAATGATATTGAAGCCTTGGCAATAACCGACGCGTCGATTCCACCGAGAGTAAGCTGTTAGCACGCGTTTCAATGCCTCCCTATCGTCCTCTGTTTCCACAAGCTCGCCACAACCGGTTCGGTGGAGGTCTTTGACGATCTGACGACCAAGACGTTCGTCCTCCACGGTCTTTGCGCAGCGCGGAGCAAAGAGGTTTTGCTTAAGACGCAACCAATTTAAATGCTGTGCGTTGAACTGGTGATTGGCCAGAGCGAGCCACACACGTCGACGAAATTTAGGTGGGATACCATCAGGTAGTCGCGCCACTGCACGCATCGCATCTCTCCAACGCCGAAAAGCCTCTTCGGAGTCCGAGATAGGTTCCGCCACAAACACATGGCTTGCAGCTAAATTACAAAATGAAAGAGCCCACTTAAACAACCAGGTTCGCCCATACTGCCCCACGATTTCAACCAACCCTTTGCAGCCTCCCGCATGAACGAAAGCCCTACGCCTAAGCACCTACCTCTGGAAAACGGGAACCAACAGGTGACTGCTCACATGGCTGATTATTTTTGAATTCTCTTCCTCTTTTAATCTTACATGGGGCGTTTCATTGTACATTTCAGAAAATGAGTGTAAAGAATCTGAAGGAGTGCACTTTGTCTTGGTTAAATAACTGGCCGAAGACCTGTTCCATTTTAGACGTTCTATCTTGACAAGCAGCTAATTTACTCGTGTTGGCTCTAACAACTGGCGGCATAGTGGGTTGGAAAAACAGTCAATTAGCTTGTAATTAGCTTATTTTCATTACCAATTGTCGGGTTGAATAGAGATGAATCTAAACCGAATCCTTCAAAAGTAAAAAGAGATTCGTGAAGAGTTATTTTAAGCAGCTGAAACACAAATCGCTTTGCTCGAGAGGGTGCACCTGGGGCAGATCTTAGCTGCTACATCCAGGTTCAAACACAGCGACGCTTAAGCCTTGATCAATTCCTCCGGGAACTTTCAGATTGCTCAAGCATTTCTGCACTATACTATTTTGGGTCAGGACAGCAATTTATAGCTAAATCAATCTTGATAAGGACTTGGTTGCCACCATTCATGTGACTTCGTTGAGGTAGGATTTCGGCTTGAACTTAACGCAGAGGTCGATCTTTAGTCGATATTTTTGAAAGAATCATCTGAACCTATCGTATCAGTCAGTTAAATGTGAACTTTCTCTTTCAGCTAGTATACCTAGGTAAGCAGCAGCGCAAAAGTATGTCAGTGTCGAAGTATACAAAGAATACACGATTAAGGCACATCGACGACTTTTGCTGCTTAGAAACAGTTTGTGAAAAATGTCTATTTCTTAAATTGAAGTGTTTTATGGAAGTCATAACTCATTAAGTAACAGCGGCCTTCAGCTAAAAGAATCAACATGCTGAGGTAGCAGGGATTTGCAGATCCAATTTAAAAAAGAGGCCTGAGTAACAGGACAAAGGATAACGAACATATTAGTTTGAATCTGAAAAAAAAGTTAAGGAAACGGTGTGGGATTAAGCCTAACCTTTTTTTGTTTGACTAGAACTATTTAGGTGAGAATCTGCAAGTATGACTTGATTAATCTACTTCATAACAAATTATGCCGAAACCAATGAGGTGGGAAATAGGGAAAAACTAGAGTTTGCCATTATAAAAAGATTTTTGGACATCTCCTTCTAAAAGCGGGGAGAAAGCTACCGATTTGGTTTCGTGTGTGTTTTTGCACCCAAGTATAACTGTTAAGCATCGTTTTTATATGGGTTCTAAAATTACTACGTCATATGGGATAATTGACTAACTAGGGGAGGTTGAGAGAGCGGGCTCAGGCGGACAATCTCACGTGACCAGTTACCTGCGTCAGCATTGCCTGAAAATAATCCCTGTACCTCTAGTTTGCGTAATAGTTGCCAAATGCTTTAAAGGCGGTAGGCCATTGCTGCTCTGGGCAACATTAACAGTATTCACCAGCTCGATGTCTTGGAGTAGAAAAATCGTTAAATGGTGCTACATAGCGTGTTTACTTAAAAAATGACATTTTTCTGGAACAGCGAGCATACATACTACTTAAAATTACCGTGAATACAATTTACCAGAACTCATTCAAGTGAAAGCAGGGCACCTAAACCAATTGGACATCGTTAACAGCCTACTCTGTGGATTGGGACGATAAATTTACATTATTTTGGAAGATCTCTTAAAAATTCAACCGGAACGGTACAAACAACATCCACCCACTTTACGCTAACGATGAACTAGAATTGACGTATGATTACACCGGAAATAAGAATCATGGGCTTATTTAAGAATCATTACAGTGTTCAAAATGAGCGCACAAAAAGTTAAAAAATGAAAAAAGTATGTAGGCTTTGCCCTTGTAAATGACGTCCACAAATTATATAGCAATGTTTAACTAGGGAGAAGAATTCGGGCAAAAACCACGTTTGCTCCCCCATTCTGGTCGCTTACGGCAACGATAATGTTTGATTAAATTTGACATGTAAAAGTACCCATCCGTACAATGAAAGAAGAACCTTCGCATGAGCTTAGATGGTCTATTTGTTGCCCGGCTACACATCACCAACTCCCCAAGGTAACGTCACGCTTGGCTGGAGTCCCGTTTTACGAACGCATCAACCACACAAAATAACTAGCTGAACTTACGCTTCCTTCTTCGCACAACACGGGTTCCTGCCCCGGGAGTTAGTGAGGGTTTTAAAGATGTAATCTTTCGGCGCATCGGGTCGCATAGTTCAGGAGGTAGATCGGGGAAGGGTGCACTACTGTCCTCAACCAATATTTCAGTTTGTCCTCTCGTTTTAATGAAAATATCTCCTCTTTGTAACTTTCGCCCACATGCAGCCCACTGATTGTCCTCATCCCTTATTAATGAATCATTGGCACCGCAATCGACGTCCCCAAACGTTACCTCACACATCGCAAGCTAGCAGAGACTGATCGCGGGTGCGCTCGCCTTGCATGTGCAAGAAACCACCTCCGGCTTCGACTCCACAGAAGCGCATACTTGAGTGCGCGCGCGCGTGCGCACTTTACGTACTGAGAGTGAGACCTTCCCACAACCAATCGAGTAGGGTCATAGATGCGAGCGTGCTTATTGGATGTAATCGTAGACCAATCGTCTGCAGGAGAAAACTTTCTGATTATGAGATTGGTCCCAATGCGGCAGGACACATCCTCCCAATGATTTGTTGTCTGTTTACGCAAACAAGACGTGGATGGATTAGTTTTAACTTTAGGGGTTAAGTATTGGTAATAAGCTTGCCGTTAGTGGATGTCTGTTTGCGTCATCGGCTGATCAAAAAGACCAGATCCTTTTTCTCTCAGGAAAGTGATTTTTCATGAAAGATGTGATCCTGTTTTTCACCCTGGTGTAAGAAAATTGGAAAATACGACGAAATCTGGGTATGCTTCACGTATCGTTGGGGCGAAAAATGAATTTAGCATTTGCTGCTTGGCGTGCTTACCGAAAACGGTCCATTCATTTAGCGAAACCGCTTTTGCATGTCAGGCACTGCGCGGTAATTTTTCAATGGAAAATTATCTTTAAGAGAATGACGTTCTTTATAACACCAAGGTTGTTTTTAAGCTGCCAAGAAGACGTAAACCAGAAACCGGCTTAAAAAATAGAACAGTTGGCTAAGGTTTTTGACACAATCCTGGTTACTGACAGCGACGAAGTCGAGATGCATGGACTGCTGTTTTTCACAACTTATTCCTTTTTGCAGGCACGGCCAGGTCGCCTTTTCCCTTAAATTGAATACCTCTGAATAGCCCCAAGTCGTTCTCACTCGTCTAGCTCTTCAGTGAAAAAAACGTCGCGTTTTTGATAGATTTAGGTGTCAGTTCCCATGCGCAGTCGCTACAACATTTTGCCCCGAAGTTTTATGAGGGCTCTCCTGTACAGTTGTAATCACGTTAAACTTGTAAGATTTCTGTTCTGCCGAGGATACAGAATCCAAAACAGTAGATTAAACGGTTCATTGAAGTAAGTGAATCCAAGGTATTATGAATGCAAAACGTATATACCACTTAAAATAAGAAACTGTAGCGGATTAATAGCGATCGCGCCTGAGTGAACCCTGGTTACCGACATCACGGTGACAATTACTCATCCCCCTTACATTGGTTACCGTATTAGATGCAGTCATCCGTTCACTCATACACGCACCAAGACACACTTGGCTGGCGTGACGCTAATAAACGGTCGTGTCCTCTGTCGCCTCCCTTCACTCCATTCACGGGTTGTTTCGGGCTGTTAACTAGAGGGTTGTAAGGTAGTGCTAGACCCTACACACTACAAAACCACGAAAACATCTTAGTCAGGCTTGAGTCCTTTTCTGCAAATGCGTTATGTTGCTCCTGAGTCGCTTATCCTCCCGCATGGGACGCATCTCCTTGTTGTGGTACTGGGCCCGAACACCCAAGTAGAAGACTTTCATTGAAGTTTGTTTAATAATCTCAGTTGACCATAACAAGGAGTACAAAGTCCAAAACGGGCAAATGTGGTCACATTTAGAATTGTGAAGCACCAGCTACAAAAAATAGTCAGAATTAGAAACGTAATTCTTGTCCAGATGGCTTCAAGGACAATTCGGACCCCTAAATTCTTGGCAGTCTCTGCAAATTTTGTGCAAGGTAAACATAGGCAGTATTTGGAATGACACTCAGAACAATAAATCTTGACGCAGCGTTTGTTTTAGTTTGAAAGCATTTGACCCAAACGTGGCCCAATCGGTATTTCATGTCCATAAATGTTTTACACAACCATTCACCCAAGTTATACGTCCAGGAATGCTGCAAGCTTACACTGAAAGAGACGTATATCTGCAGGTTCCGCGCTGTCGACAGGTTCCAAGCACAAATGAAACTGACACTAGAGGACGATGGTAAACCTGCCGGACTCTCCAATCACGATATTTCTAGGGTATTAGAATTCTACCCCTGCCGCATCATCGTGGTTAACACCATCCCACCTCACCGGAAAATAAATGGTGCCCATGAGGTCATTGGAATTCGCCAAACAGTTACACACAAATTGATGTTACGTCTGCACGGCCTGTTGACACTCACCTATACTACAGAAGTATGCATACTAATGTGGTTAAACAAGGATTTGAGCGAGACGCTGCCCTCGACCCAAATGTAACATTTGTGAGAACAAGGTTATGGGAGGGGCGGATGACATCGCTAGACAGCGAATAGCGACGCTATCGAGAACCCAAGTTCTCGACGTGACTCCGACCTTGTAAACAAATGAAACAAGTCTTCTGCTGGGTGTCTGACAACCGCTGTCATCTTTCTGGCAGCTAAAGTGTTCTAGGTACCATTTAGTGCAATTGTTACACGAAGACCGTTCGAACAACCACCTAATAAGCTTTTAATTATATCACACATAAATTATAAACTATGTGGTGATCACAAGTCATGCCCCTTTCACACCTGAGCAAAGCTTTCGTCTCTTATCGTCGCGAGAATCTACTCATTTTCCTATGTTGGCTCAAGAAGTAGAGTGAGTAGGCATACAGACCTTGCAAACCACCACCTACACAGGCAATTGCAGCGACTTTCTACCTAACAGGTTTGATTTCCAACAATCCATACACCTGATAAAAAGTTTCGTAACTTACATTTATTAAATGCAAAAAATTTGTACAGATGAACGAATGAGCGGTCCTTAAGAGTGAGATCTGAGCTCTCTAAGATGTTCCATGTACTGGGCAACAGTAGCTCGAGCAATTGCCCGAGATAAGGACTCCATTGCCTCTCCAGCGAGGAGTTGCTCAAACGAGGGTTTCGGCAGTGCATCCTGTGAGGAATTATCTGAGAAGGCCTTTTCTAGGGTTGAAGTAAACACTGGCAAACTTTGACCACTAAAAAGTTCCGGGAAATGTTGACGCCCAAAAGATCGCAGCAATTCACCGCACATGGATGGTGGGCAGGTAGGATGGAAAGAAATCTGAACGAAACCAATAAAAAACCTAACAATAAACATCAAGCTTGGATTTCATGTACCTGTTAACTATAAGAAAGCTAGCATTGACCGACATGCAGGTGCAGTCTACAGTACTTGCCTAATCTATTGCCTATCGACTAGCAGAGACAAAATGACGTACTTCTAGGAGAAGGCCTTTGATTGTCGGACTCTGACCCAAAGAAAGAGCGATGAAATTGACATGGAAATCACCAAGCCGATATTTGACACCACTTCCGTCTACTTGCAGCTTCTTTTCGAACTCGTAGACACCCTTGAAAAGGCCTGGAAACTCCCGAAATGCCAAGTCACACGTAAGTATCTTTTCGGGCTCCGTGTCATTGATAACGAAACAGGTGGCTGGAAAATCGGTCGTTGTAAATACCTGGAACGAACAGCACTTTACTGAATACGCAAGCATCTAAACACTAGGAGTGACTTACCTTGGTCACTCACGGACCGGTATACGGAGCTCTCAATTTTAACCTTACAAATCTCAACACCCCCTAAAGTCTAAGTAAATACTACCACATCTGCATACCCAAAAGTTCCATTTTTTTAATCATTTCATCTAGAATCTTTTTTTCCTGTGTCGGAATTCGGATGACTCTATGGAGAAAGTTAGAACCATTTGGACTTACGCTGAAATCCCGGGCATGTTTCAGCTCTAAAAGGGCGCAAAACTGAGTTTAAGGCGAAGAAGGGGATCCAAAAGGATTTGGTTTTAGTGGTCACATGACAATTTTAATTTAATGCGATATCCTAGAGGTTTATTTAGAACGATTGGTAGGTTTCTATTGAAATGCACTTAATAAACGCTTAGGAGACCAAGTTACACAGAATCTGGATTGTTATGCTGGGAAGAACTGAAGGCCACCACTAATCAAGAACCTTCAATAAGCGAAAATCCCTATTTATCAACATCAGTAACACGATAATATTATTTTATTATACGGCATCCCAGAGCAAAACGTTTTTTCACCTACACAAATATATTTTGTGAACAGTATTTTTCGAGGTGAACATGAGCACACGAACTGATAAACGACTAGGAACTGAAGGAAAAAACCTAGATGTATGCAGCATTCCATGGGTAAAAAACAAATAGAGTACAGAAAGACGAATCGGAAATTTTGATTAACCCGGTTCCCTGGACATAGAATTACACTTTGTGGATGTCGACGGCTGATACACCCACTTCAACGATTTTTCGAAAGGTTTATGCCCAGCTAGTGTCAATTCAAATCACCTTGGAGCCTCATGTCCTCTCAAAGACTTTCACATTGATGGTAGTAAGTTGTGCTCCTAACGAGTTCGAGTTGACACTTTAAAACAGGCATCAGAAACAAATAAAAGTGCAACCCAATGTTAAAATTTTCAACACGATGCAAATATAATTATTAAACAAAGTTTACTAAAGTCACGTGGGGAGCAAAAACGGCGATCAGCAGAAGAAATCTCTAAAAATTCCAGAGAACCACAACACCAAAAAGCGCGCCCCAAATATCAAGCATTAAATCGTGTACCATATTTTGTTTTTGAAAGACTCTAAATCGGGGTATAAAATGGACAAAAATGTCCTGATTAACTTCGTTGCTGATTTTCAATGTAATTAAATAAGTTTAATATTTTCCAAGCTATAGAAGAAATTATACCAATGGTCGATTAGTAACCATCAGTTTCATTTCGCTAGTCGTCGGGATTATGGATATATTGCTTTCATACATTTTTTTTCTATTTAAGTCATATTTTATGCAGTTGAGCTGTTTTAATCTACCAAAACCTCCAATGTTTATAAATCTAATTAAATAATTTACTTTACAGTGCCTTAACGCCCCATATTTGTAAAAAATGTCACTGATTGAGGCTAGAGGTTTTGGTTGACAATGTTATGGCAAATCTGCTAGCGTTTGTAGTAAATCGAGTTTGAATTTTTATTTTGATTTCGGACCTTTGTCTACATATTAATTAACGCGTAATTAGTAGTAGTAAACATCTTACACATAATTATTACCTAGGAGTCGGCTTGATGAACAGTCTTATAAATTCATCAAAAGAACGTTTCAGGCCGTTCGGGTTCCGTGTATTTCCCTGCTGTCTTGAAATCTGCTCGATTCGGAAATCACTCGTGGTTTTTAGCCGATTGTGTAATTGACCGTTGAAAATAGGTTACTAAATATCCACCACAAAATCTAATATGTCGTCAAAGTTTAATAAATAACGTTTAGTTTGACTTATCGTAAATTGAACAGTGTCGATTCACTTTCTCTTATTTCATTTTTTAACTCTTCTTGAGTTTAGCCCAGCCACTTGGCAACAACTCACTTTTCATGCTAAATACGAAGCTATTAACAATAGAAAAGTGACACACTGAGTAATTTTGCCTTTTATTTTGTTCGAATATTTCTCTTTTAGATCCATTCAGACATGCCTGGTCGTTATTGAAGTGGATACGCATGTTAATGCTCAAATGCAAAAGAATTTTTTATCTTGAGAGTTCAGATGGTTGGTCATCGATTTCATTCCATAGCTTAAACCAACTGTCCGTTGTTCAATTTCCTGCTTTTACATTCCTTTTAATCAACGTCAGGCGTGAATGTCAATTTTTGCTTTGAGTAACCAAAATATTGTACTTTTAATCTACCTGAAATTTACTTTTTCACCATTTTTGACATTTAATCGATTATGCCTCTACCAGACGTAACTTAGTTTCATGTTTTGCAGGTTTTATGGTTAATCTAATAGCTTCCAGATATACCTTTAATGTTCTTTAATGAATCTTCGGTATTATGAAGATATATCTTTCAGTTACAGACAATTTCATCCTGTTTATAATGCCATTTAGTCAATCTGTTGTGTAGCGGCGCCTTTACCTATGCGGCTGACCTAGTTTTAGGCTCTTAGGATTCATGGCCGGGTGCATTAATGTACTCTCCTTGACCGTGATGACATTTCTAATAGGAAAATATCAGGAGCTTCTTTATTTAAGTCGGCACGTCTGTTATGTGAAAGTTAAATGTTCACTTGGCTTTACGCTACTCAACTTTTGTACCCACATTTTCACCAGCTACCAGATCTATCAGTTCTTTTGACTGAATCTACTTTGTCATACTCGTAACACCCAGTCACAATTTTTAAGCATTTATGCCATCATTATTATTTGGCTAAATTTTCAGACAGGTATTCGCCGCACTGTTCCTTCACTTTCAGGAGCAAAATTACTCCTCTCCACGTGATTGTCACAAGCTGCTTGATCAGTTTTCCTCACTCATTTCCTCTTTTAAGTTCAAAAAGAGGGACGACGTTGCAGCTAGCAGGGACAGCTTTTGTGGAGGATCAGTACAAATTACCTGGGTGTGCCATCGTTGAAGGGTACTTTTGCAACTCTAAGTTAAAGTTTCGTTATGCATGATTCCCACTTATTATCGTCTAGGAAAGTCCTCACGAGACACGATGCCCACGTGCTTTAATATCCATTGTCATACTTGAATTGCTTCAAAAATTCAACAGTACACTGTGTATCAGAAAAATCCAAACTAATCAGAGGTCAATCAATTCCGTCCAAAAGCGTAATTTTCACGAAAACGTATATTCGCACAACCGCAGGCCCTCCGACGTTTTTAGAAGCGTGAGGCCTTCAGCCGAGGACGCTGCTGGGGTAAACGCCAACAACCCCGTTTTTGCTCAACTTCAAGGATCCACAGTTCTTTTATTGGCGGCCCAACATCATTGAGGCTGCAGGTGGCTCCACTTAGATTTTTCATAAATATCACTATGAGGTAAATCAATTGTTAGTGAAATGGTAATCAGCTTAAAAAGGAAACTAAATTCAAGTGGCTTGACAACTTCAAAACTGCGTCAAGTTGTGTCAGTTAGATGAACATGAGATTCGAGCCAAAAGATTCTTCGGTTGGTCAATTAGGAAACTCTTGATGCTACATTTATTTGTACTAGTCTCATATATTTCTTCTAGCTGGCCAAGACACCAGGAGATCCCCAAAAAATAATGATGGAAATTATTAAAGCTGGTAGCTTTAATCAAATTAAGCATTCTACTCTTGATCGAACTGGATTTAAACACACCGCTAGGTCATGCTAATTAGATATTCCTCGACCCAGCTGGGAGAGTTTGCAAAAATACAAATGCAAAAGTGTTAAGTAGAGTATGTAACCATTCTATGCATTTTATCGACTGTAAATTAACTTACATAGAGGCCGTCTTCTCTCCCAGATTTTAACAATGACATCAAACTAAAAGCATTCCTCTTTTTTGGCGGGCATAGAAAAAAGTCATGTAATGATCAAGGAGTGTGAAGCTAGGGGGCATTATTATCACTGAAACGTCGAAAGAAATTTGCTTTGAGGTTTGTTGGCGTGGGAACGTTGGGTGAATTGGGGAAGGCATAAGAAAGAGCACCAGCTGTAGGGTCCATTTCAGGGGCGTCGATGGTACTCCAGCGCTCCTTCAATTTCCTACGCAGCCGCGCCCGCGTCAGATTGTCCATGGCAGCAAACGCTCCACCCTGCTCTGACTCTTCGAGGTCCTTGATGGCGTGGAGGTAGCTATCCAGAATGTCGGCCTGTTCATCACCTCCGAAAGTGATTGATACGTTGACACCTCGTGGGCGTGTGTTGGTCTCTTGATCAACATATGGAAACCGCTCTGTGTTGATGGCCCGATGTCGCATTTGCTTGACCAATGGCAACACATTTGCTTCGCTTGCGGTCTCCTTGGTTGTTGGTCTGTCGATCGCGTCAACTAAAAACAGCCTTGAGTCTGTCTGTGTTGAGGCCGAAAGTCTGTGGAGATTTAAAGGAAAACATTCATTAAAGATGACCTACTACCAAGTAAAAGCCATTCACGACCAGAACTAACATATCGAAAGTAAAAACTACGCCGGGCCCGTCAAATAGCATATTGTTTACATACCCCTCTTCTGTGATTATGATCTTTTGTACTGTAAAAAAGCGTCACTTTATGACAAGAATGAAAAACACTTACCTGTCTGTTGATGGCCTAGCTGAAAAACAATTCATCTCAAAGGAATTTGGCATGCACGTCGCCGTCAGCCAAGAAAATGACAACAACACCACCTCAGTTCCTGTCATGACATCTGTTCTGCCACTGTGCTTCGTAAATGTGAACACCGATGAAGGAATCTGGGCTGTGCCGACATCGGGTAACATTGGCACAGTCAAAGCACAAAACCAGCGCATAAAATTAAATTTTAATAAGACATAGAGGGATGTTAATGAGGCCACGCATAAACAAAAAGTAGTTTAACAGATAACCCAGGGGAAAATGTGTAAAAAACCGAGGTGGTTAAATCCACTGAACTGTAACTCACAACAAGGCCTGGCTGTTTGGCATACATCCTACGCGGACATTGTCACACAAACTATCACCGAGGTCGATGGTTAAAAGGGAACTTATGGAGGGACTAGAAAGAGTGATATCTCAGTTCAGCTCAGACGTGGCAATTTTATCAACCATATTGCCCACCTGGGAGCGGGAGGCAGGTTAGGAGGCAACACGGCTGCTTTGTCCTCAGGGAAGATGAGCTGTCCCAAGCAAATGGCGTGGGGAGAAAAAATGGTCTTGGGGCAGGTGGCAGAGGGCAGGACGCCGGTCACCTCGAATTGAAGCAACTTGCTCATCTTCTCTTTGATGTCGATCTTGGAGAGAAGGACGTTGAGGTCCTGGCCCTCGAGAAGTTCCACGACCTCCGCATGAACTGACTCGAGACGCGCCAGCTGGCACTCCCACTCCGGCGCCCGCTCGATCGTCCGCAGCGTTGGCTGGCCCACTCGGCTGTGCAACTGCTCCACCAGCCTGTCCTCCTGACGGTGAATCTACGGGGTTATAAGTGAGTGAGTGAATGACAGCAAGCGTGATCTGCTGCAGTCAGTGGCCTGATTCCCCTCCCCCTACCCACCATTTTGTGCACCTACACACAGCAATTTGGCGGTGTGTGGACAGATTCAGACACACATTTTTAAGAGAGAGTTTACCGAATAAAATTGTTGAAATAGCAGAAGTTTCCTGAATTTTACTTATTAAAAGTTTCTATTCAACGAAACACTTAATGTAATTAAAGGTATTTCGATGTTTTGTTTAAATAGCCTAACTGATCTAAACCAAAAGTGAATTAGTCAAATTAGAAGGCGCTGTGTGACTTGTGTAGGCCAACCGAGATGTTAAACACTTTATTTTTTGAACAAGTCGAACGATGTAAATCACAATTAAAATACGGTGACACCCCTTTTTTAGAACAGTGCGCAGTTTAGTACCCAGATGACTGATGACCTGAATTATGTCTTACTTCTTCCACACAACCTAATCTAGGTTTTGCATGGCTTGGACACTATTAATGGAAGTTGTCGTGAATCATGTTTATTCAACCCCCTAGTCCGGTCGCTCCACCCCCTAAACAGGGTTCCCCTTGTTGCGGCATGTCGCCAGCCCCTCGAATCCTCAACTCCCCCTTCATTAGCCCGAATATTTATCTTGGAGTGTCCCCACACATAGGTCTCGATGTAAGCCCGTGTATGACTCACACATCTGAGCTACAAATACGCACGCGCAAACACCATACACGACACAACGACACCAACGTGGTTGACCTCTGAAGTAAACGCCTGTGTACGTCCTCTCCGGCCTTTTCCTTCATCGTGGGTACCAGGGTAGAGTAATCGGGCCACGGTTAACATCAGTGGCCCCGGCGTGGTTCAGGACGACATGCTGGGGCCCACAACAAAGTATAGTGCAAAGTGTGTGACAATGTTGCTTATTTGCAGGTAGTGAGAACAAATTGCGTGAGCAGTAAGTCCTTGAGACCTTCTTTCAGAAGGACAGACAAGTGGACCAGATAGTAGAATGCTCAATCTGTAAGGCGGTTTGAATACGCAAGGTACCCCCTATCAATTGAGAATTTTGATGCAAGGCGTCTGACTGGGCTCAGTTCGGTCATTTTTGTTCGGGGGAATGTAAAGCCGTTTCAATGTTCTTAGTGGATATGATAAGGCAGAAGTTTTGCAGTATCTCGATTGATGTGACTGAAGTTTGTGAGTCCTAATTGCGCCGCTGGAACCCTGCTAGAACAACTTGTCAATGCATAAAGCATGCTGCGATTCCTACAACCAGTTGGTGGTTATATAGATTAGTTGTGCCAAATTATTACAAAATTGTACGCTGAAGGGTCGGAGAGACATCACATGGAAGTTTGCTTGTTTGTTTCAATAATTAGGTGAAACTGAACCAAACGTCACTGCGCAACTACTTGTTACTTCTTTGAAATGAACGAAAACTGTCAACAGTAACCAGGTAACAGTGAAAGCATCAAGCTAAATGTTGCTCAGCTCTTTATGGGCTGAATGAACCTTGCAAGACAACTCGGGATAATTCACGTTGCAACTGTCAGTTAAGAAAATTTTGATCAGTACCATGTCCTTTCCACTGGCGCATTTGCCTCCTTACAAATTAAAAACGTGTCCGCATTATGATTTTGTTCTCTTATCAGCTATTTACCAGCTTGCGTTAGGATGGACTACTTTGCAAAGGACGCCTCGATGGCCCCCTTAAAAGCAGGAACGAATCACGCACCTCGTCAATGGCCTTGTCGGCGCACTCTCGGACGTCCCTTTCAATCTTGTGGACCATTTCGGCTGCGTCATCGATAACCGCTAAACGCTGACGTGTTCTCTGTATTAAACTTTGAGTTTCGTTTACTTTTCGCCGCAACTCCGCTCGAAGCTTCTGAATCGCCTCACCAAAGCTCTTCATCTCGTGTTCACGGTGGTTATTGAAGGTGCACAGCACGCAGACACAAGCAGAGCAGGCTTCACAGTAGAACCTGACGGGCTCCTCTGGGTGTTCTTTGCACGCAATCGCACTCTCAGCCGCCAAATTAAAAATGGCGTGATCCTTAGTCACCCTTATCTCTTTGTGTCGCTTGACACATTGGTCACACAGCAATTTGTTGCAGTCAAGACACTTGGATGAGGCTTTGGGGACGGGTGATATGGCCGCTGAGTTGGCTCTCTGGTTAAGCGGTTCTACGCCCAATGTATTGCGATTGATCGACGGAGTTGAGGACCGACCGCGAGCCAATTTGTTACCAAACTGGCCACAGATTTCACACTCACCATAGCCTGATACCTCAACATGCCCCAATTTGCGTTGATAGTGTCCTCCCAGAGGGCCACACACCGAGTCATCTTCGCTCGTTTCCTGTTCATTGCCAGTGGCAACGTCAAGCTCAGTCAAACGAGGGTGTTTCTTTGTTTGCGAGAGCATTTCAGCAAGACCGGAAACAAAAAAATTGTCCGGCAACTTCCGAACACCTCCAATTGGAAGATTTGTGCGCTTTCGACACAGTGGGCACGTGAAGTGATGGTAATCAGCCATTTTATTGTAGGTGACCTCCGAGGATATGTGGCTTTCAATGCATTTCTGGCAAAATGTGTGGAGGCAAGCCAGGGATTTAGGCTTGTCAAATGAGTCTAGGCAGATCTTACAGATGAGAAATTCATCGTGAATCTGTTGAGCGATTTCGAGGGAAATGGAGCCAAGCAAAGCCGCCGACGGGTAAGCAACCTGCGAACCCGGAGTGGGTGTCTCGGAGTGGTCGCTCCCCTCGAGTCCTTTGTTTACTTGAGTGGCAGACGAGGCGCCTGAACCGGAGTGGCCTTAAATGTTAATGAAGAACTGGGCAAGATCAATAAGTTTCTACAAAACAACTCATTAACACCAGAACGGTAACATATGAATCAACCTATTTGAGAATGACTTTCCATATCTACTCAATATAAGGGAATCAATCAAAAGTTAATCTTCAAAGCTAATTTTACTGAGATTAAGCTAATACAGCACCAAAGGTCGGCCTTTAGCTCCCCTAGGTTGGCACTACCACCTTTTCCGCTTCTAAAGTATTTCATTCAACTTTTAATAATTGGTCAAAGTGGAGGCTAAAACGGATTCTGCGTCTGCAGTAGACGATGTAGGAGATAACTCCAAGAAGTGAACTCTTTTTCCTAGAAGATATCTCAGTATTAAACCTTGGGAGACCTAGGAATGGCGATTGTGGTCGTATAAATGAAAGTGGTCAATTTCTGAGAGATAAAAGACCACATAATGGCCCACATGGAAGAGCTCTACCTAACGGATACCCATTCAGCACTGAAATTCCGGCTTTTTGAAATCACAAAAACATTTCGGCGTATGTCTGGACATCGGGCTCTTGAGAAAGAACAGACATTTCCTGTCTGGTTATCGTCTGGTCCCCGATGATAAGCACCATCGTGGGACGACCTGACTAGGCCATCGCCTTTTGTGTTCCACCTTCCACTTGCGGACATCCACCACTGTGACTTTAGCCACACTTCGTATGCTGTTCTGGTTCTCATACACCCAAGTAACTTGAAGAATTATAGAACTTTAAACTTCGCATGGGTGATCAATTAAATTTGACTTTGTGAGGTGCAACCTGGTTTGACGTCCATGTAGATCGAATACCGACCAGGTGAATTACTTCCTGCAAGAAATTGGGACACCAAATAACTTGAGTCACTTGATTACGGAAAATTTCAAGCTTTGGAATGACTGCTTTCATTGCCGAAAATCGTTAAAACTCTTATTAATAACATTCTGTAGTTCGACAAAAGGCCTTAGTTGGAGCGGAGAGGCCAAATTTGGTGAGATCATTGCCGAAATGCCGCCAGTTTACAAATGACTAGACTTTTGCCATAGTAAGCAAGGCATTCGTGTAGCACACCCTCAAGGGAAAAGTTTTACGACTATTTTAATTTCAACGGAGGAACCACAAACTTCGACGCATCAAATACATGTTAGCAAACGATAGCTAAGTCAAATTTTCTGCTCTCAGGATTCTAACAACAATTTTCCGACTAGATTGGCTTGTTCAAAAATAATTTTAAATGCTTTTCTGATTTGTTTCCACGCGAGGTAAAACATCCAACGGAATATAGTTTCAACAGTTAAATCTTAGAGTACGAAATAAAACTGTGTTGGGCATGAGGCCAGAGTCTTATGAAAAGACAATTGAGCAATGAACAGAGTGACAACAAGGCTCTCGAGATTTTGAGAAAATGTGATAAGAGAAAGCCTTGATCGTTTTGGGTTTCTTCGAAATCTTGTTCAAACTAAAAGGGAAGTCTAATGTAAAGGGTTCGGTATCATTTTAACCGGGGTCATGGCGTCCACACACTGGATAAAAATAGCGTACATAAAATGGGAATAAAAAGTGTTTACTCCAGTGGCCAAAATGATTGTAGTTAAAGTCCCATCTTACATTACCACCAATTTTTTTTCAATGAATTTTTTAAATACTTTGTCCTGGGGTTTGTGAAGAATACTAATAGCTGAAACAAGCGTTACGACTAAAATTCTACTTGACAATAGACAGGTGACTTGAACACTAACTTAATTCTAGGCTTAGCGTGTAAAGACACGGCTACATTCACTCATTCCTGTCATCCCACTAGACCCTATTTTCAAATATTTCCACGTCAAAAGTTGCCCTAAGTTTATCCCAAAAATTCAAGAAGCAAACAGTTACTCGTCAAGTTAAGACGTCATTTTTCCCAATGACAACGAACGAAATTTTGCGAAAACATCCAAAAACAACTAGAAACCGTCAATGATTTCAAGGTAATCAAACGACTGAAGGTTTCGCAAAATCTTTTGTTCGAATGACCAGCGTCTGGCACTCAAACGTGCCACTGACAAATTGTAAAATTTCTAATTTAATTCCCTTCGTGATATACAGGATTTTTTTGAGTAGCAGTAAAGAGCATTCCCATTTCCTGTGTTTGCTAAGGCTTTAAGATAATATAGCACTTGCTTCAGAGCAAATCTTTTGATCCCTATTCGCAATTTTAGGCAGAATCTCCTCACTAAATACAGACTATGTTGGCCGTCACAGCCCTCCAAAATTTGTAAGAAGAATGCAATTGCAGACAGTGGCGTCTTGTGAACTAACATTCCATGTTTGTAATGACGACAGTTTTTATTAACACGGGAACGTACATTACTTGTCTGACTCATGCCTCTGTCCCAATCCAGAAACTCATTGTTTACTGACAGTAAAAATTCAACTTCTGACCTTTTAACTTGAGCTTTTCAAGAATATTTTTACCTTGTAATTCCAATCAAACAATTTTAAGCACCCTGCAGCAGCCTACGAGCCGATCGTCATCTTAGGGCCTGAGTCAGCAATAACGTCAGTTTGAGATTTCCTGTTTTGCAGGAAGCATTGGAATTTCGGAAACTACATACCACAGGATAGCACATCCCATGCTATTAAAATCACGTGCTTAACGATTCGGCAGTATTACTATCAAGTCATTTCGCGCACCTGAATGCTTTCTCTCACGAAAAAACCAACCGAGGCCCTCTCGTAGCGGAGCTAAGAGGTGCGCGCGCCCTGACTAAGTCGATTTTTAAGCCAATTAAAAAAAAGTGTTTTTATGATTTCGTGTGTCGGAATTTTTATGTACTTTAAAATACCTATGTTGAAGTTACGGTTAATTTCAATGAAAGTACGGTCAATAATGCACAAACGAGGTGCGTTTTCATGATAATGACTAAGTAAGAAAATGGTTTATAAAGACCGCAATGCCTTACTGTTGGTGTAGCAGGAGTAAGACCATCTCCAATCTGCCCTTACCGTGACATTCACGTAGACTGTAATTACATTAGCGCTCAAGAAGTATTTTGCTTGGCTATCCCTGACGAGACGATCATGAACGCGCACATGAGACCAAGCACTACAAACTTAGTCAGTTAGACGGCGAACTGAAAAACTCCGAGACCATTGTAGGGTGGACGACGTAACTTCTTTGTTAGGCAGCACTTAGACAACTGGGACATTCATAACATTCCAACTGCATACTCACTTAAAATCTTTCCACAATTTAAAAAAATGTTTTAGAAACTTGCTTGAAAAGGCCATTTTTGGTGCTAGCTGAAAGGTTTTGCGCTGAGATGCAATGGCGCCTGGGTTCCTTGATTAGCGCTTTATGCGCAACCGTCTGAAGTCTATTTTGGAATCGTGTTCTTCTCAAACGCCCATTTTATTAAGTGTTTTATGGCTATTACAGTAACAAGTCCTGAATGTTTCTCAACTAGGTGATAAGACACCCGCCGAGCAATAATCCCTACAATACTGCATGAATGATAGAGTCGAACTGCGGACTTGCAGTCCTGCCTTCTTCTCGATTCCACGTTTCTTGTGAAATGAGTTTACACCACAATTTGGCAGTACAAGCCTCCCATCCACACAAAGTCAGTAATTCCACAACTATTTGGTCTTGTGTACAATGGTCTAAGTAACACAAGCAATGGCTGTACATTTTGCTAAAGTATGTTGGCTATTTTTTGAGTAATTGTCATAAAAGCTACACTTTTCTGAATATCACGTTGACTCGTAGGAAGTAATTAAAAGACAGTTTATGTAATTAAGAAACAATTCTTAGGAAAGAATATCGTATGAGTTGAAATCAGACTGTGGTTTTATTGAATCGTAATTGTTGAGTGAGCTTGAAAATAATAAAAATTACACTTGTTGACTGATGCTAAAACAGGTGTTGAGGAGCAATCTAATCTCGTAAAATAGCCGTAAGTCAATTTATTGGATAAAATAAATCACAAGCGACGTACTTTTGTTACTGTGACGGTTGCCGATGCTGGTATGCGAAGTGTTGGGCATTCTGAAGTGGTAAGATCAAAATTATCACCCAAATGAGCACGTCCAATCGCTGGATTCAAGACAACGCCAGCACGGCGATGTAGATTTTAGAGATGGAGTTATGAAACCGAAGGTGGTGACAGCTGACTACTCCGAGCTGCTGCACTCAGATTTGCATGTCTTAACTCCTCTGGAACAACGTCCCGAAACAGCTTCACACCAGAGGATCAGCCTCTAAACTTGCGTACTGCGGTAGTTGGCAGGGCTCGTGGAACAGACAGGCAAGCGTGGACGCGTAATCCACGATTGGTCTGTCCGTCTCTCTGGGCCGGGTGAACAGACGCACACGCTCCTCGGTAAATCGATTGGGCACCAAAACACACCGACACGCGCACATACGCAAGCGCACCCACAACGAGGAGTAATCAATGCAAGGTCACCCCCAGGGTTAGCTCGCCAGGTGTCTGCTGAATCTCGCGCCATCGCAGCACGCTCTTTGCGTTGTGTCGCGCTAGATTTGCCTTGCTGCTCAGCCTGGACGCTGAAATCGCCGTCGAGGCAAACGTGGAAGGATCCACCAGTGACTCGTTTGTTCACTATTTGTTCAAGTGCGTACATTTAAATCGCCCACCAAATTTGCTTGAGAAGCAAACTCAGCACAACGTTTAACAAAGACAATCGCCCCAATAATGCTAACTTGGCATGTGGGTTGGGAATGAAGCGTTGTTAGTAGTACCAGTTCATTGTTATCAGCAGTTTTACAAACTGAATGGTATTTACTAAACCACCTCATTACCATATGGTGTGGTAAAGATTTAAGAAATGTGAACATGATTCCATGCATTCATCTTACTCGGAAAAGCCTACTTTGGACAAACGTGGACGCAGCCCACATTGTTGGAGGTTCGCAATTTCTGTATGAAAAAAATGCCTCGTCTTCCGGTATGCAGGTTGGTGCCAAAGCCGAGACGGTATTTACCCAGTAAAGGCGGTGGTTGCATGCCCAACATGTTTTACTGCCAGTTATACTGACAGGTTATTCTATAATTAGACCTGTTGTAAAAGCACGGAAGAAGATTCTGGGTTCTGGCGTGATCCCTAATGCGGTTATCATCGCATGGATGGTAAACGCAGGACATTTATTTGAAGCGATGCAATCAAATCGTAAGTCTGATGAGATAGACAACATTTCAAGTAACAGAACGTGGAATAAATTAATAAATGGAAAGTAATAACAGTGTATTCAATTAAAATCGAAGTTGCGTAACCTGATCTCACAGTATCTTCTATAAAGGGCATTAGATTCACATGCTTTGTAAGTGGTTCTTAATTAAAATTTGTGAAAGTGAAGTTGCTCAATGAACATGAGTACGTTTAGTGCGATTGCTTGGTACTTTTGACTGTTTCACGGCATCCACATCCAACGTGTTGGTTATATTTGTCCTTCTGTCCTCAATAAATGCCTCCACGGGCGTAGCGAAATAAAAGACATTAAACATCAGGGAAGTAAGTCTGATGGGTAGGAATGGTATGAGGCCAATAGCTTGCCATACCTAGACAACACTTGGTGGCCGTTCGGTGAACAGGAATCCAATGTCTTCAACAGCACACTAGACTGGAGAATGGGGGACACCCGCAATGGAGAAATCGAGCAATTTTCGAAGTTTGGGACTAAGACTCAACGACTTGCTGATGAAGGCGGTGCGGCTGACTTTTTTCCCACTTCCTACGTCAGCTGGTTAAAGGTATTTTGAGGGTATGTTAAGCTGCGGATGTCGCGTTTCGTCTTCCTTTGCTCGACCACTTTGTTATTTACCTAAAGTGCACGAAATTCTCTCATTCGTCGTAATTTATCCAACTGCAAAGGTGGCGCGCGTGGTAGGGGTTCGAAAGGCGTTTTTTTTATTACGGTGCGTCGATGTCCGTGTCCTTGTGGCGTTTCTGTGGGAATGTGTGGGAAGCAGTTTTGGTGTGATTAGTGAAGTTGCCGTCGCATTCGTAGACATTCCGGAAAACTCCGCAATTGAAAAAAGCCACCTTTGGTATGTTGAAGTGGCTGCCGAAGAACAGGAAGGAGATACTGGTCTGTCTTCTTTATGTAGGAAGCTGCGTTAACCTTCCCACTTTTAATCCACTGAATTAATAATTAACGAAAACGAGCTAAAAGAGATTGCAAACGCTTAAGAGGAATTGAACAGGTTATCACCAATCCATAGTTAGTCGATTCACTGTTCTAGTTACCTTAACGAGTTAGATTGCCTGCATTGTCTTGCGCATGTCGCTCTGCCTCGATAAGCGGATCCCTGTCAACACACAAGTTGGCCCGTGAAGACACACACAGGTGGGCCTACTGAGGATTTACATATTGTAACGGATTCGGTTTAGCTAATTCGTAGGGTAATACTGAGAGAACATATTTCACTTATACCATAATTGAATCACTTGATGCACGCGAGTCTTTGTAATGTTCAGCCGAAATGAACGCCTTGACTTCTTCGCCTCATTGACCAAAACGAGAAGCTTCAATGTAAGTCCCTAGTTGACTTTGAGCCTAGTCAGAGTAGAAGTTGTTCCAGACGCCTGCACGGTGCTTGTTTCCGTGACGACTGAAAAATGACCACAGCGTCAGCTTAAGGGTTAGCATAGCATTACTGATAACCCGGTGGCTGGTTACCACAAATTTCGACTAATCCCTTTTTAATTTGTCACAGGTCTGAGATGAAAGAGTACTGGATGAAAGTTGTCCGAGTAAAGGCATGTTTAAGCCAAGAGTTTTGGTGGATGAACGCGTGATCAGTTATGCCGAGTATCCAAAATCATGCAAACTTTTCGCGAAGTCTTCAATGCTACTCGTGTCCCTAAAAAATATACACATACTGGCATGAAAAGATAATGCTTGCGTTTGACCAGTGACTGAAGATGCGTCGAAACATACTACTTTGTCATGATAAGTAGCGGAGGTAAGCTGTGGAAAAACTGAGTGCCATTGCTTTCTAGCCACTTAGGGCTTTTCTATGGATATAATGATTTGGTCTATCAAATTACTCGAACACTAGCCTTAATTTACAGCTTTGAAGTGCAACCGACCAGAAACCTCTCCGAGCCGCCTTTCCCCCTTTCTTCCTTCGACTTTACCGCGATGGGATTGGCGAATGACCGTGACGTGTAACCCCTGGATGTTTAAGGTGTAATTCCTGACAATCGATTTCACTCACGTGCCTACTTCATCCACTTCGTACACATGCTGCTACTAGTGTTTCAGTTCTAACGATCACAAATTTATACATGCACAAATTTGCCTTCCAAATGTGGGCCAGACTAAATACAATCACGGAAATCTAGAGTTTGCATGATGAAAACACTCTCAAACTACTATTAAATTTGAATATGGCATCGCTTTTAAATTAAAATAGCCTGGATTGTGCAGCCACGATCCCACAGCTTAATTCGTCATCGCAAGTAGAAGCGGAGACAGCAACTAGGTGTTGCGCAGCATCACCCACTGACTGCTGACAACCGTTACACATCAAAGCTCTTGAAGAGGTTTCGGTTTTTTTTTCCTTGATTATGCATCAAGTCTCTGGCAAATTGAAGTTTTAGCAGTGACTCACGGAGGTAATTTGAGCTCAGTTATCGGGTTCACACGTTTACTTAATTGGGCAAGGATCCAGTGCTACAAAAAATACTTGGTCAGGGCATGTTGATGGACAGGTGGACTGAATTCGAAATGCTTGCATAAATATACCTGCAAATTGTTTAATTTTCAGTCAATGAAACATGCGTTTCTTTATTCTCATTCAAAGAGAATTTGGTTTTACGACGCCTATACTTAAACCAACATTAATCCCCCTTGTACTCAATCTAAACCATTTAAAGGAATCGACCATAGTTGCTCAAGGTGTAAAGTGTCAAAGATCCACCTACCTCAATAATAATGAGACCAGAGTTTGGTCCAAGACCAGGTCTATCTGTTCAACACACTACCGCTGAATACGCTAAAAATCAATAGATTCCTGCTGATAAAATTGTATAGTAGGCAATTGTTTGCTAGTACCTAGAATGATCGAGGCATTGGCGCGGATATAAGGCCACGGAATGCATCACGTACTCAAAACCACTTCCAATGTGCAGCTTCTTTAAGCTTGGTGATTAGACACATCAACCAAGATGGAAAATTGCATTAATCAATGTTCGTCTTAGTCCGATAATCGCCTTGTCAAATCTTTGCCGCCGAAAACACTTCTTTCTAGACACATGTTTTGTTGGCCTTAGGTACCGCTGGCAGTTTGTGAAACCATCTTTACATCCCATACGATTTCACAAAACCGGATCCTTCGGTGTTCTACTGTCAGCTTTGTTTCAAGTGGCCATTTTCAGACCACTGTTATAGCGCTAAGTCGTCGATTGGCGCAAAGTACAAAAGCACCTGCAATGCACAAATCAGTTCAGTTTGCCGCATCAGGAATTTGATTAATTTATAGTCCTTGAGTTGTTCTTCAGGGTTTATTTTTCGTCTTCATTTGGGTGATTTGATGTACACTCTTTCGACTGTTTTTTTTTAAAGTAACTGCAACACTTCTACCACCCGGCGCCAGTGGACTGATGCAGACGGCTACTAATCAGGCGGATAAGGAACGCACGCAGAGGGACTGTCTTCTACATGCACACGGATGCATTTGCACATGCATTGTAAGTGCTGCTTTGATAACTAATAACCAGAGTAGTTATTTTTCCAGCAGTAGAATGCAGTCTCTGATGCGCCAGTTGAGTGAACCACACGTCAACTGGGTGTAGCACTTGTCTCGCGTCCTTCAGACATCATTTGATCATTTGCGTCAGTAATCATAGTTTGCTTGCTGAAGGTAAATTGCCATCAACTTACAAAACTACAGAACTCAAATTTTTTCACGAGGAAACTGATTGGTTAAATGTTTAAATTTTCAGAACTAGTGAATTCCACCTGGCAATTCAACACTCACAAAAGCAGAACGACACAATAATGCCATGTAGATGATTCCAGCAAGTTAGAGCATAATCATTAAATACATTCCAGAGAGAGGGGGGTAAATCTCCAATCTTTAAGCGTTTACTTTTCAGTTCATGGAAAGATAAACTAATGTACGGCAACCTCGATTCGTGCCTGTACTCTAATCTTAATTCTCTCAATCTCGTCCGTGGACTGGAGTTCCAGCAGTCTCATTCTGCACCACCCAGCTTGAGCCCGTAGACGGTGGTCAATTAGAATCTTGCTTGGATCTGTGCGTGCCCCCACGGAAAACACCTGGGATCAATTCGGCATTTCCGCGAAATGCGATTACTGTGCACTCGCATATTTTGGTGCACATTCGTCAGAAAGATCTTCCCATTTATGTAATTATCACTTCTGGCTGAAAGCATGAAAGCGACATTTTTATTTCACGCCTCAACCTGACGTCTTTTATCCCTTGTTAGAATAGTAGTAATTAGGCTAGTAGTAAGTGGATTAGAAAAAAACAGGAAGTGCTGGAGGGGAGAGAGGTAGGGCTTTGTCACATGATTGTTTGCTTGAGGAAGCGAGGTAGTGCGAACACAGTACAAAAATAAAATGAGTGCTGCCCAGCCCTGCCCCACCCTCTCCGCCACGTCCAACTCCGAGGGGCGGCGGTCGAGCTGGAGGGCGGGCGGGGGCCGGGGGCGGGCAGTGGACGCAGCGGTGGCCGACCCCGCAGGCGCTCAGATGTGGGGGTGGAGAAAAGCACTGCCCATCGGAGCCCCGTAGGCCACCGCAGCAGCGGCGGCAGCTTGAATGGGCACTGGCGTTCCATTGGTGTGTCGGAACCATTCAGCTGGGTCGGCCGTTGTCTACAACAAGCACAACACAACACTTTTTTGCCTGAAGTGGCTCTGTTGAACACGCGCCTGCCGTGAGCTTCCTCAAGGTATTTTATGTGACTATGAGAGCACCAGACTTTTCTTGTCCCATGGTTGTGATCAATCGCAAAGCCGTCTCCACCGCATGCGGTGCAATGAACAGCTGGCAACGAGGCCTGGAAGTTCCGACTGACAGAAACGAAGATTTAACAAGTATTTTTAGTTAAAAGCAGCGTAAGTGTAACTGATACTTTGTATCGGCATTAGTCTTTTTAACCTGGAGAGATACAGAACTGAGGTCTCCTGTGGCTGGCTATTTTAGTTGATGGCAAATGGCCCTGGATGAAATGCACTAGACATCCTTGAACCTTCTAACTTCTTCATACAAGCAATTACATGGTTCTGAGATTTCAGAAAGTGCAACAAAACACTACGCAACCAAGTAAAAGATGTGGGACACTATTTTTATAATTCAAGAATCTCAAAAAGTGGTAGGTACAGGCAGAGCATTCTGCAAAATGTCCAAAAAAGTTCATTTTGGAAATCCGAAATCCAAGCATACCTTTTAGGGGAAATTGTGAAGTTACACTGAGTTACGCCACATTGGTTGTACTCACTCACAACAACAATCTCAATTGTGTGGTTCAGATATTTTTCGTTCAGTCTTAGTCAACCTTCGGATCAGGGCCTGTTGGAGACTGTGCTCAAAATGGCTGTCTACTAAAATTGCTTTAGTAGCAGCCATAAGTCAACAAGGGAGGCTTTTACACGGGATTCTGAGTAAAGTTGGCCTGAAATCGAACCGATGTGGAGCAAATTAACGCGGTACTGCCCAAAGTTCTGCCTCTATTGACTGTTTATGGAATGGGCTGTTTAACTAGGGGACACCCAAGACGAGTTACGAAAGGGCACTCCTGAAGAAGGTCACGCGAGGCTCTTCACCAACTTTCATGTGAAAACTCTCATCCTCCTTCCCGTTACTGTGTGCATGAATTTTGCAAAAAAACTGTCACTGAATAATATGAAAGGGCAGCTAGTCGTGTGAAGTTCTTGGCCCTGAATCTGAAGCCCACTTTGACTGATCTGGCGCCGACTACACTAAGCAGTTAATGCCTTCAACCGACAAGAGTTAAACGAAAACGACTCCAATGGTCAGTCTGAAATCGCCAGAATGGCACCAGGGTAAGGCATTGAGGCCGTTTCTAGCTCGCGCCTACCTCAGCCCCTCCCGGCTCACGAAGCAAGCAGCACAAATTGGAGCTAAAATTACACCCAAGTGCAGGAAAGGTCCATCAAGAATAGGCTTTTAACTCCAATCACTTCTGGTCTTGAAGCAAATCCAAAGTTCTGAATGAGTCCTACGCTGTTTCATTGCTCTCTTTCAATGATGCCTCACATGTAATTATTCAGCTGTAAGAATTTCGTGCTTTCTGACTGGTAAGAACAATTGTCAGGCTGTCGTCAGCACGTCCCACGCAGACGAGCTAAGCGCCAACAGAAGTGCTGCAACGCTAGCCTTGTTTACGTGTCTGGGCCGTGATGGCCCAAATACCGTATGCAACTACCTTAATTGCTTATTTACAAGTGTGATTGCTTGGGGCAATCCTGCTGACAAGTTTCAAGTGTGTGTGTGTGGCGTAAGGTGGAGGCAGCTTTTTAAAAAAAGTTATTGGGTTGTGAAATAGGCTAATGTACGCTTATCGCTCTCACAAACTTGGGTCAGGCACATGCCAAATGTCGGATTTAGCAGTAGCAGTAGTTAAACCACACGTGTAGCTCCTGTCGCCGTGGGAACGGAGGCGCACAAATCAATGCAGACCTCCGGGACTTTGAGTGGCGAATGACAGACACCTCTGCCGTGGCGATTTTTGCTACCACCGCAGTGCCTCTAAACCATGTGGGAGAGCTTCTCCTCATCAGTTTTTACTTTTGCGGTTTTTCTGGGCACAGAGATTCTCACTTTCTGCACAAGTAACTCACGTTACTCGCCTGTTTCCCTTTTACCAGCCTGGAGAAATTTTGCGGGCATGTTACATTCAGCCATTGGCCACCATAAACTAAGGGTTCGGTAACAAATTTCTGCAGAAAACATCATGCAACGAAGTATTTTCGAGTTTCCCACTTTTGTACAAAAACGTGGTCTGTTATTTCAAAATATTCACTTAAGATTTTTCTATTTCATTAAACAGACAACAATAATACCGTTCTGCCTTTCAACTTAGCATATTCGTTTTGCCTTTTGTGGAGGAGTATAATGTCATGCACAACTACCCAATTAAAGTATTTTTTTTCACTTTGAACTATTGCTGTAGGAAAAAAACGAAATCCACTAGAATTCAAAAAAAATTTAGGAATTAAAAGTGAGATCATCAGCCTTGGCAACTACCTTGATGAAAAAGGAAATAAATGAGTGAATTTGGTCCAAAGTGTGTTAATTCCAAAATTGATCAGTGTGATCAGAATTTTTTGTTAACTGTGCTCACTAATTTGCTAACCTTGCAAAAAGGCATGAACGATGGGCCAGTAAAAAACTAAGAGTCCTCAGCGGGAACAATCTCGCAAGGTTCACTGTTCCCAATGATTCAGTCTGCTGGCCATCACACAGTGATGACTTTAAGCAACCAGCATAAAATGAATAGTTGCATATTTGACGTGCTTAATCTCATACCAAGTAAATCAAGTAACAGGTGGAAAAATACGACACTAGAGACAGTGCCAAGCATGCACACAACAAATAACAAACCACAACCTCACGCCCTCGAACTCACCTCGAAATCGTCCTCATCATAACGAGAACTCAAGTGTTCTTGCTCGGACCTCCATCCCAACTGAAAGCACACTTCCAAAATTAATATAACAATTCTTCCCTAGTTGTAGTCGTGGCAAGTAGTAATTGCGGGACAAAATTTTAATACCACAGCTAGCTGCCTTTAATGGTGAAAGAAGTTTGAGATTTTGCATAGTTATTAGGGGGAAAATTCGACGGGACATGGCTACATTCACGAGAAGTCCTCAAGGAATTTTCAGTGCAGCACATAGACAAGTGCCTACGGAGCCCGTCTTTTAGCCACGCAACGAAGAAGTACACAGACTTTCCTCGTCTTCCCTCAAATGTATACTTAATTTTAGCATTAAAAAATGTCATGTTATGAGCAACCTATTTGTAGCTTCAGGAGAAACGCGTTGAGAATGAACACACCTTAATTGGCTATCAGTGTAGGCCTAACCTAAGCCAATTTCCCAGTTAACATGAAGGAATGTGTTAAAACGTAATCGTGACCTGCACCAATAGTGAAATTGTTAAACCTGAAGACTTCCACGATGCGGATGTGACGAAATCTGCCAAACGAGTAACGTGTATGTATATCTTAACAAGCTTACTGGTGCATGTGATTTTATTGTCTTGTCTACCGTTATATACAAAACGGTGTCATTTTCGTTGCCAACTTCGAATGCCTTCTGTCACAGTAGCACACAATCAAAATGACGCTGTCTTAAAAGTGTTTCAGGTTAAAAGGCCATGAGGATTTACCAAGAGCAAACCTCGCGCCCTGCCATTCTGTGCGTTAATTCACGTCTAAAATTTTGGACTGATATCTCGACTACTTCCTCACCTCCACATTAAAACTTCCAATTAAACATTACTTCATTTTGATTCGTAAATAGGTGCCTCCGATTGGTGCAATGTCTCAAATGTCACTCACTTACCATATGCTGCCACTGACTCGCCACGACGGAGATAGTTTGACCCTTTACCGAGGCGATGGAATTCTCGACGCTAGGGGGCGGCGGAAACTGAATGGCGGCAGTGGTGTTGGTATTGGCGGCAGCTGCCTCAAGAGTGTCACTGACCAGATTGGTGTAAATCGGATGATGATGATGATGACCTGGTGTGTGTGAGGGAGGGGGTGGTGGTGGTGGTGGCGGTGCCATATGCGAGTAATGGGGGGTAAACTGGCCGCAGAAGTGATAGGACACCATTTGCGCAGCTGGGAGCTCCGTGAGGGAATTCGTGGGGAAGCATTGTGGTGTCATGTAGCTGGAGACCTCTACTTGAGATGGGTGAGTTGCGGACACGGATTTGACCTCTACTATGGCACCATCGGCCTTGTGCTCTGTGGGGGACCAGTTCTCGAGCCTCGCGACTTTCGGTGAACTCGGCTCCCCGTCTTCCTCGTCGTCTTCTTCGTCTTCTTCACTTCCGCCCCCATCGTCACCGTCGTCTTCATCCTCCTGGTCGAGGTGAGTTATTGACCCGTTATCAACATGGGCGCTTTCCTTCTTTATAATCATCGACTCTTTTGGGGAAGATGTCGGAAGTTCTCCAGCTGTTGAGGTGGACTCTCTCTTCGCCTTGTTCTCTTCCATGCTCTCCTGCTTCTTCTCAAGGTTGGCAAAGAGAGATGCCGGGGGAAAGGGCTCGACGAAGCCTGTAGTGGGAGTATACGAGAATGGGTAGATGGCCGATGGATTTGCCGTGGCATAAGCGTTCGTGGCGGTTGCTGCAGGTCGATACATGCCGACCTGGCTCTCAAGCACTGAACCAAGCTGGTGATAGTTGGGGGCGGAAAAGTGATGCTGGACAGCCTGCTGTTGTTGTTGGTGCTGCAGGGCCAGTGCATGGGCCTGCTGCTGCTGGACTTGAACTCGCTGTTGCTCCTTAACAAGTTGCTTCTCTTGTTTTCGGTGCTTTGCCCGGCGGTTCTGAAACCACACCTACAATCCATACACACATCTTTTTTAACTCAGGAAAGGATTTGAACATAGATCTTGACCTCAGGGATGTATAAATAAGTACAAATTTTCATAAACTTGTGTTGCTCAGTACGCAGCTACGTTTATTAGAGACTTAGAACCAGTGGAAATGACTTCAAACTTCCATGCCTCATATGCGAATTTTGAAGATTAACAGAATTGTATTTGTGTCTGTTTGAATTCAAAATATTGTCATGGATAGCATTGCATATAAGGGTTGAATGTATATAGGAGGAACGGCATTTGGGTAGAAAGCGTACGTGAACACTTGGTGCCACCTTGAGTCTTCACAATACTCGAAATTGGCGTTCTGGGGTATAAAAAAGAGTGTGCATTTTATGGCACTCCAATTACACAATGCAAATGCTATCTGACGGCCTTGAGTTCAGGTTCTAAATTGAGTCAGTTATCCGCCGCTAATGTGCTCGAAGCTAGCCCTCCGCGAGTGTCAGGTGTCAGTGCAATGTCAGCGCCGCGGTGAGGGCGGCCTTGTTTTTACCCTCTCTGTCACTTACACGGCAGCCACCAGCATGACGCCGCCGCCACCGCCACCCCCCAGCGAATCGGCGGCGTGCAACCGGCACACCTGAGACTCCTCTCGGGTCGATATCAGCCTGCAGTCTCGACGTGGCAGGTTTTACTCATTCGTTCTCTCAGCGTTCATCGACCTTCTTCCTCCACCAACCTCCTCTACCTCCTCTTATTCTTCTTTTCGTGTTAAAATTAATGTATATTATTTAAGTAAACCTTGTTACCTCGGTGTAAATCGCCCTTTAGAAAACAAGTTTGTCGTATGTCATCAAAGGCCACTTTAATACACCTTTCGAATTTGTACAAAGGCCTGCCAATAACTGAATATGCGCCATCGAAATTGCTCCAGGTACACTTTTGTGTTCTTTCCAGCCAGCGAGTTGCAGAGTCCAGTCTCTAGTCTTTGATTTTTTTAAAAATGAAATGAAATTTGTTGGATCAATATTGAACTAGACTAAAGTGGTCATTTAGAAGAAGAACCAAGTAGCCATGGTTATTCGTATTTCTGGCTTCAGTTAAAGAATCAGGTCTGGAACGGTCGCTGTCGATGTCGATGTCGTCGCTGCTCTCCCAACTTGGCCACTGAGTTCACGAAGTCGTTTGTGAACCCACATTACATATTACAAAAGGCAAGGGCTTCTGATTCGGTAGTTATACTTCTGGCGCGAAATTCCCATTTCAGTTTAGGTTAAGTTTAATTTATAGTATGTAGTTAGTCCTGTTAGCCTGTCACTTGGATCAAAGTTGTTGCATCAATGATAAATCAAGTACAACAAGGCTGCGTTTAGCAGTGAACATTCAAATAGTGACACCTAATCTACGCCAACTGTCCAGTTCAATTTTCTTTTTAATTTTTCAGATACCCCGACTTGTCAAAAGAAGGGCATTTAACTCCCAATCAGAAGACCACAGCTGATTTATAATAACTCCGTAACCAGGCAAGAGTTTGTGAATAGACATTAGTCAGAAAATTTAAATGTGCTGATCAGTTTCGAGGTTTAAGGTCTTCTTTTCAGATGGCTTCCCGAACTTATTTAATTTAATTTCAATGGCCCAAACGCTAACTCTCTGGCATCGTGAAACCGGTCAGGAATGCGGCATGCGATTCGCCTGCACAATTGACTTGCACAGCATGGTTTCCTCCACTAAGAGCTGTCTGAAGGTAACTTAAAGTGACTTCTTTCAGGGCGGCACCCATCAAGCTTATTCATCTGTCTTCGAGAAAAAGACAAGTTTGGTGCAACTAGTTGTCCCTTCCAGTGCAATTAAGACACACACACACATGCTTCAAGGCGAACACCGGAATTCTGTGGAGTACCAATAAAGAACTCACGGAAATAAAAGTATTCGAAACACGAATTTAGAGAATGTGCGTTGATGCCAGTGACATTCCGTCAACCGCTGGAGCGATAACGCGATTCCCCTTGGGACTGGTCGCAGCAACAGAAAAAAAACTCAGTTAAAGTGCAAAATTTGCTCAACCAATGCATCTGTCCGCTGTCAGATATAATCGACGATGACTTGAAATGGTCATGCAAAGTGCCTCGGAATCTCATGTGAATCCCTATGCAACGGTAAAAAGTCCTCAAACTCGGGCAACAACTACATTACGGTTTCTGAAATGAGGCACATGCAACCGGTTCGACACCCAGGCATCCCAACGCCTGCTGCAGTGTAATTGTGTGGGTGAAAGGGTTTGCCACACTGCGTGAGGAGGGGGTTGGGACCTTAATCGCACCCACCTAGTAGGTGAACTCACCAACGTCGTGTCCTCGCCTTGACACATTAGATGCCGACGCGCTACCTCCCAAGCAGCCGTCACAACTTTTAATTGCAGCTTGATGACTGTTGTATTCGCGTGTAGGTGTGTGTGTGTGTGTGTGCGAACTCTGCTACGATGAGCAGGTCGCGGTGACATATCATACCTCCTTCTGTTATATTCTTGGCTTCGGGCACCAGTCGACTTCATACAATTGTTAACTTTAACTTAGAACCCAAACGACTAACCGTGAATTTTTCCATGTGACTGATTCCAGACAAAGCGCAACTGCACCAAACCAGTTACATTTATGCAGCAAAGTGTTGGTGATTTCTTACTTCAGGAATTAAATTAAGAAGGCAGAATCGTAAAATCAAAAGTACTATCAAAGTTTAGAATGTATTTGTTGCTCACCTGCATGCTTTTTCACAATACGTGTTATTTATTGGTCTATCATGTTAATTTATGGCCTATAGAGCTAACTTTAACTCAAGTGGCGTTTTCCATTTAATCAGAAACACGCCTGGAGTATCCTATCTACAGCGTAGTGGTTCAATCTATTATGCGAGGACTAGAGCAAAACATAAGCGTCGAAAATTAGTTTGGAGCTTTGAAGCGGTAAGCCATTAGAAGGCAGATTTGGGAATCTTTAATAATCCAAGTCTGATGGTGGTTGATTAAAGGACTGACTGTCAGATTTCGATAACAGTACCTTAAATACGCGGGTAGACGAATCTACGTGCTTGACTGCAAGTGATTAAGCAAGTAGTCTGTAAGTGTCAAAGGCACATGTACAGGAATTCAGCGGTTCCATAAAAATAAGGCAGAAATTGAAAGAATATAGGCTCCAAGTCCTATGGGTCCCATAGAGGTCCTCAGCCTTGGTAAAGTGTAAAAGCACGACGAAGATTGCAGCGACAATCAATAAACACAATCGAACATAGAGCTAAAGGTAGGGGACCAACTGATCACATCGACTTCGCCTCTCTATGAGACACATTTAAACACACACCTTCAAGACCCAGCTCGTCACCTGCGACACCAGGTCAGAGTGTTTACAAACTGAGGAATCGGGGTTTACCCAACTTGGGTAGACGCTTTATCAACTGCGATGTGTGTCACCTGCTTACGTGCCTTCTCGCCACCGTGTTGGCAACCAAACCAACCCTTAGAAATGTCGCTGTCTGCGAGGGCACAAAATCCTCTCAAACACACTCAAGACCATCACGTTGCGAATGGATCGCTTCGCATGTGGTAGCTAGACGTTAGTTTCGAAGCTTCGTTGCTTCTACTGGCTGTTTGAGTCACACGCAGCCCACTTGTCTAGTGGCAGGCGACACTGGCCTCTGTTCCAGATGCAGATGTCGATGTTTAAGCAAGACACGTCGTGGTTGTTGGAGTGGCGTAACACCACTTCGTTGAAGTCGGCTTCCACTGGCTCTCATGAAGTATCCCCCTTTACGAGGTTGGGCGAATTACCATTGCGATTACCCCTTGCATCGTTGTCGATTCTGCTCGCGTCTTAACAGTACCACCGCCCACTCGTGTTTACTCACTCCACAGGAGGTTAATTGGGCCGAACAAGTGTCCAGTGTGGCCTCATTCAGAAATGCATCAATTTCCTTGGCCAGCACCAAGTAAAACGCCACATTGCGAGCCTTGTCTTTAGTCTTGAAGTATAAATTAAAGAAATGATTGCATCGAGTCGTCAGTTCACTAAGCTTAGGTGAACACAATCAAACTCCAAACACTTTGGCATCACGAGGGGTAAGTTAAGGAATACTTTTTGGTGGTCAGTCAGCACCTAATTCGGCATTACAAGAACAATCAAACAGGCAATTGTGGTAGACTACGAATTGCTTGTTTTGTGTTACTACAGAACTACTTGGAGGCGGTTGAATGGTTTATAGTTGAAGGAAATGATCACTGTACCTGGATCCTGGCTTCCTGTAGTTTTGTCATTTTGGCAAGCTCTTCACGACAGTAAATTTTAGTGTCTCTAGTACACTGATGGAACACTTGAATGAAGTGCAGCTATCACATTGGTCAGTAAAATAAGTTTTATTTTTTTTTCAATGTTGCCTTCCCTACGGAAGTTTGTGCCTGGTTTTATTCGTGTCTGTCTGTAGTAGTCTCCAAATTGATTTCACGACTTCATCCATTTCCGAGTCGTGCACATCTACGACGCAGTGTGCCTGAAAGGTTTCGTCCTCCAAGAAAATAGGAGGACATTGAGCTAGCTCGCCACAAATTACTTTCCTAAATTTCGGAATTTAATCCACGAGATCTCATTACTGTACTTTTAGTTTTCTTCGGCAACATTTTGGTAGTAAATCTGTCCACTAAAGTCGCGGCTGAGAGAACCTGATTGAGATAATTGAATTTGTCCACTTATCGGCAGGTGGGAAGTCGAAAGGGATCCCTTGAAGCGTTCTGCAGGAGACACAACAAACTCCCCACCCAACTGGCGAATGATGATGATGATGATAATGATGGACAAATTGAATTATCACAAAAGCAGCCATCCGCCCCTTCACTGAGAAGGAGCAAACGCGCATTCGGTGCGTGTTTTTTTGCAGGATGCGAATTTCGCGCTTAGAAATCGCGATAACGCAAATGCTTGAAAATAATGCCTCGCCTAAAGTCACACGTGCGGGCACATCGTGACTGTGATTTGAGGGGTGACGAGCGATACGATACGATAAGGTGTTGCATTTAAAAAAATGGTTTTGTAAGGAGACCTCGCAAGTCACCACATTGGGATGACGGGAGTTGCGAATGATTGACGTGGTGATCTGACAGGCGCACCCCAGCGCCGCGTAGGCAAGCAGGGTGGTGCTCTTGAAGAGGCAATTTAAGCCACGTCTGAAGGTATCTGCTAATCGGGAAAACGGTATGGGTGGGACTGCGCCTCACAAATGCTTCATGAACTGTGGGAATGTTGCCAAAGCATGTTCTTTGTAATAAAGAAAAAGAATTCAATTTGAAGAAAGCAGCAGTTATCGACAGAATGGACATCCCAATGTCTTAGAAGTAGGTAAGCGCGAAATTCGCTACCAAAATTTATGGTGTTTCGAAGCAGTAAACCAAGTGATTGTATGCTAGCAGAGAGAACTTGGCTTTATGGCGAAGACGAATGACTACCAGTTTTCTGTTACTGGGATAACTAGGGCCAGTGACGTTAGGCGGGAATTAACTTGAGTGGTCGGCTAATGTGAACGTTTAGGTTTTCCTTTTTAGACTGGAAAGCCTCTTCACAGTCAGGTCTCTAATTCAGGAAGAAGCTTGCTCGATTACACCACCTTCCGCGTGACGGAGAAATTAGATTGCCCTTGAGGGCACTCAGGATTAGGCTAGCCCCGGGGTTTGTCCCTCCCCCCTCTCGTGTACCTGTACACACACGCACGCACCCACCATTGGGTCATCATCCAGCGGGGGGAGGTGGAATGAGAAGGTGGCGGCGGCGGCGACGACGCATCAGTTACTGGATAATTGGGCAGTGTGGGAAGGTAGGGGGGAGCGGTGACTAACAATATTTTATGAAGGAAAAAACAACAGAAAAGCGTTCCTGTATGCTTGTGTGTGCCAGATGTGAAGTTAACCGAAGCACGGGCCCTTGATCCTCCCACAAAACCGAGGCGGTGCGCAGCCGCGGGGTGTTGTGGTGACCAACGGGGACACCTCGACTCAGGAGGCAGAAACGAACACGCCCGTCCATCATCCGCCAGGTGGATATCGGGGTTTGTGAGCACGTGCTAGCTCCGGATATGGCCTGGCATCATTGCGATGGCATCGCTACGGCAAACGACACCACGGGAGTAGCGGTGGGAACCTACAGTGACAACTCGGGAGCTTCCGATGCCGACAGTCATCCAGCCGAGCACATCCCTTCGACCAGGTGGCGTTTTGGACGCTTTTATCTTGGTGACGGTTTACGCAGACATCCCGACAAACGCAGTCGAAGTGGGAATCGCCAAGGGGAAAACACCTCAGACCAAACGATCCGCAAAATAAAAAAAAGTTAGAAATTGCCACTAGGCCTCGGGACTAGGCAACGAACTTCTCAAAAGTCAACTTAAATGCCCACATTTACCGGTGTCAATGCAACTATCACAGCGCCGAAACAGTCGAAGCAGTGTGGTCTACCTAACGTCACAATCACCACGCACGGTCCACTACCACAGCCCACACCACAATCTCTGCTTATGAACTTTACACAACCCCGTAGCGTTTACTAGGGAGCGATGTTTAAAACTTAATCCGCCTCTCATGCTCTAACGATGAGTCCAGCTTAAGCTGAAACAGGTTTATTACGGGAAGTTAAAAATAAGTTTACAAAGGTAATTTGCTTGGGACCAAAGGGAAGGAACTTCGAAGAAGCTAAAGGGGAACCAGACAAATCTAGAAGTCCGTAACTCCAATTACTTGCCAATTCCAATTGATGGGCCATTAAAACTAAGATCGGAAATGTTACTGTACGTTAGTCAGTAGTAATATGCGTAACTAAGTAACCCTCAGTGGGAAAAACAAAAAAACGAGTCGAAACACAATTTCGACTGTATAATCCCCGACTTAAAACATGCATACTGGTTGATTGTGGTCAGTTAATCCGACAAAGGTGACCATGAAGGGAAATAAGTAGCATCTTTCTTTGAGTAGGCATTTTTTAAAGCAGAAGACATCAGTACACAGCGCAAACTTGCGAAGGGCTAGGTACTTTCAGCAAGTCCTGTGAAAGAATGTCTTGCACTACCTGAGACGACAAGTGGAACTCGAGTGATCAAACCGTCCACGACTACCTAGAACGACCGGTGTGAGAGGACTTTGGTAGGGTTTTTTTTGAATTGGGGAAATATAACGTCGTGGTATCTAGTTGATAACAGCTAAGTATCGATTCAGATGCCTTCTCCAGTATACTTCGCAAATATCCCCACGTTCTGCAGTTTTTTAGTAAAAAAACATGTATAAGGCGTAATGCCTTTTTTCACTCGTTTTCACGTGGTTTTTGAGTTCCAATAACTGGTTTCTACAAGTTTAAAGTCAACTGCGAGTCCAAAGAAGCCTGTTTCGGTCGAATGAGTACCCATCGATGCCACCAAAAATAAATTCGCCTCACTGCGTGCTCCCGACATAGGCACCACGTGTCTTCAAGTTATCCCTACAACTTCCTGACTGATATGCAAGGCACTGGGATAACGAGCGCAGAGTTGACGACTACAGGCCACGCAAAATTTTGTGTTCAAAACAAACTATGAGGCAAGTTATTCTCTTTCTGGCAAATGTCAATTTTCTCCAAACACGAAGTCATGGGAATCATCTAATTGGGAGTCAGCGCCAGCCAGCACACACTCACTCGACGATCAACAACTCTTAAACGCCGACACTAAAACTGCGTCTGCTTTTGTTAGTCGGTTAGAATAGATCTTAGAACACACTCTCTGCCCTTTTTGTGGATCAACACTTCCGGTAGATTTAAGCTCTAGGCTAGAATATGCCTAGAACTGCACAAGCACCTAACACACACACACATCTTGGTAAATGTCAAGGCACAGGGAGAAGGAGAATCCATTTATTAGCAAAAACAATAAAACATTTTTCGCAGTCAACATTAACCCGCACCCGCTCAACCTGTCAGAAGATCCGCCGCGGGGAAACCAAGGGGTAAACCGAATAATTCACAACCCGGCATCGATATGTGACCATAAGGAAGTCCACATCAAGAGTATAAAGTAGAAGCAAATTTGTTCGTCATTGACATGGAGGTCACACCATTGAAATTCATAGGCACGAGAGAATACATTATGACTTTTACCAATCGATGACACCAATTAGCTACGAGTGTGATTGTGGAGATGGAGACGACCATGGCAATTCCCTGCATTCGACGTTGCTGTTGTGCGCTTGGACGCGCCTCAGTTGCTGAAGGGCGTCCAGCACAAGGCGGGAGGTCAGGCTGGACGCGAAGAGGCGCAGGCGCTTGGCGTAGGTGGGTTTTCGCTGGTGGGGTTCGGCGTGTGGATCGCACACGGCAGTTGACGCTCCGCTCCGACTAATTGTGGGTCTGGTCTTCAAAGAAAGCACAGAAGCGAAATCTGAGAGCTACCGAGACTAGGGTGACTGCACTTATTCGCAAACAAAAGCGGTCAGTCAACCTGGGAATGGAAGGTGGCGAGTTGACACACATTCTGGCCAACGACCCAGCACTAGCCGACTCTCCTTGGGAGCACCTACTTGGGAAGTGTAGAACACCGAGGGAATGCCGATTTCGACTTTTGTACAAGAAATAATGAATCATTGATCAATGTAACCTGTGTGGAGCTGATGCATTGAAAATTGGCCGCCGTGATTTAAGGCAGTTGGGCAAATGTGCTTTTTAGGGAAATTTCCTTCAGAGAATACTCTTTCTAAAAGTATAGGGAATGAAAACCACCAGGCTGGCAACTCGACACGAATGGCTAGATGGGGTGCATGAGTTAGTCATTTAAGAGCAGACTGACACAAGCAATCACCATTCAATCAGTGCGTGGTGTGTCCTGGGCGTCGACTACTTACTGCTATCAGATATTGCAACCTCCAGTTTGTAATTGAGACGCAAAGGTATTAGGACGAAAAGTAAATGTTAACGTGACCCTTTTCAACAATGCACTAGAAAGCCAGTAGAAGTCAATCATCAACCGCCAATTTTAGGCAATTCTGCCAAGTAATCAGATGCAAACATAAACTGAATACCTGCCTGTAACAGGGTGAAACAAAACAAAGAACACTGAAACGAACACAAATGTCCTCCCCCGGGGAGCGCAATGCGTTGAGCTTCGACTTGTTAAAGCGGCTAAAGCACGACTTCGCTTCGAGAGAACGCATCACAGAGTCGACTAGACGCCGAATGTAACGCATCCGCCTTGCCGCGGCCTCAGTAGCCTAAGAAAATAAAAAAAGCACGACCTGGATAAGCAGATCCAATGCCAACTGAGTAATAAACTGCACATTCCTTTGGCTTAGCGTGCAAAATATGAGCGCCGACAACCGAGTATGAAAGGGTCATTTTGTCTGCTACAATGTGCTTATGCCACCACTTTAAACAGACAAGCAAACTTGGAAAAAAGACGCTGCTGCCTGTTTGCAGCATGCTACTCTCGTAGGCATTGTTGACTGCCTTCAAAGGGGGGCCTTTCGTGAGTATCCTGGCTAACCAAACGTGGAAATTTACCTCTTGCATAACCTCAGAGACGGTGTCTTCGGCATACCCCTCTATCACTGCAATGAATGACGTCGTCGGTTTCAAGAGGGCGCCATGTGAAGTGGTGTCCTTGACATCTAGGAAAGTCGAGGAGACGTTGGGAGTAAACGAGGGGAAATCGCGGTTTGTGGGTGGTGGTCCAATGGCATAGGAGCTAAAACGACCGAAATGGGACTACCGGAGCCATTAGATTACAAAAGAGGAAGGAAATAGACCTGCCTAGCAGACAAAATAAGCTAACTCAGACTGGCAGCTTTGTCGGATAATTTCGGGATTAGAGGGCCACTAAATACCAACGGGCAAAATCTCGGTAGAAGAACATCGGAAAACCCACAGAAATTGATTAGCAAACAGATAAGAGGCCGCCAATAGAAGTAATGGCACTTATATAGATCTGATAAATTAAAAATAAGTTTTCCTTAACGGCAGATTAGCGTTGCAACTTCCGCCGAGTCTTTCGATTTGGGCCAACTAAAAAGGGTGCATCAGACACAGGAAGATTAGAATTCCATTCAGATTGCTCCTTGATATTTTGCAAAACAGGCACACTGGTTTTTTCGATACAAATCGGTAAAACCCGTCTCAAAAATGACTTTCATTGCGGGCATCAAGCACAAAGACTAAATAAGTATCTCCGAGCACACCAGTGGGCCAAAATGTTAGAAGACAATTAAAGTCAGGGAAATGGTCCAGCCACATTTGGCTGGGTATACGGCGACGAGACAGAATCGGACGCAACCTGGGCTGCTCTCGAAGACAAAGTGGTGTCACTACCACTAGCGGCTCGCATGAAAGGAACTAATGCGCTGACAATCGGGCCAGACGTCCAGTCACAGAAGTAAGCCAACCTGTTACCTAAGCGATCTTATGTACAGAACTACTGCCAATTGCGGGTGAAAGTGTTTTCGGACAACAAAAGAAGTAACCGGCAAAGACATACGTAGAACTTTGAGAATCTGATTTCGGGACACGCGGTCTACCGGAAGTGCAGGTAAACGAGATGGTCCTTGGTGGAGATGGCCGTGATCGTTGACACTTATCACTGTGCTTCGCAGATTCTGAAGGTGTTGCCTCCTTAGGTGGAGGCAGGGAGGCGCACAGAGACTGATGACAGATGCTATCCTTCAGAATGGCGTGAGATAGACAGTCGGCAAATCGACTGATGACTCGCCATTCCTGTGTGGCTGGCGATCCGTCAGCCTCAGCTGGTCCACAAAAGGGTATCAGTGAAGGCTCTATGATTTTCAAAAGAACGCAGAGGAATTTCTTGTTATGTGGCTTATTTTTTGTCATGTTAAATTGACAACAGCTGTTGACGGGTTGATGTGCAGCAAAGTTTCCAGAGTGAGTTTATCACCAAGTCACTGAATGAGCAAGTGGGCAAGACTCCAATTTAGGAGGAATCGGTTAACCCTCAACTGAAACAGCACTACTTTTTAAATTATATCAAAAACAACAGGGAAATCATTGTATTCATAACCAAATCCGAATAAGAAATTATGATTGGCTGACACTTTCTTTCGAAATCCACAAATTACTTAATCAAAATCACTGAAGTTACCAAAATTTAAACTAGACATAAGTGCTTAACTTTCTGCAGACATCGACTTGAAACGGATGTCGAAGAACCGATGGTAACGTGAGAAAAGTCCTTATTATACAACATCGATTTACTGGTTGGTTGTAATCCACTGAAATTATCTAATCGAATATCACCGTCCAGTCTCCCTACGTACTAACATCTCATGGCTACACAACAGTCCTAGGACGAAAACGAGTGTGTGAAGGTCCACTAGATTGTGCAGAAATTTTCATCACTAGTGCCGTTCCAGATGGAAGAAACAAAATATGTTAAAGAGAGTAACGGATGAAGAAACCACAATACGCCTCTTATATAGCTAGTCAGCAACCAGCAGAATGTCAAACGAATGGACTCAGAGAACAAACCTACGAGAATGTTTCGTTGGCATGTTGAGCCGCCGGCATTCGCTTTGAGACGGAGGATTTGAAAACGCCTAAAAGGGTGTCGGAAATCTTAATTTAGTAAATTTTGATTGGGCTCGACAATAAATTTAATTTATAAATTTGACTCAGAATAAATCAACTGAAGCAGTGGGGAAAGATACTCATTGTTGGTGCAAGTAAAGGAGTCATTAAACAGACAAAAAATCCCTCACGAGCGATTAGCCACAAAGTAAAAACTTGATTGCCACTATTTATACACAAACCTGGGAGTAAATGCCATCAGCAACTTTGTGTAAGCATATAGTGGGAAACAAAAGTGATGGCTCAGAGTACATCAATAAAAAAAAGCTGATTCCCACTTTATACATTCCAAATAAAAAGAACGACATCACACTCCAACGCGGTCTTCCTTGCTAGCCCATTAGAACTTGGAAAGATAATGGTAAGAAGCTAGTACGGATGAAGTAGCCATAACCGAAATCATTGACTCACTATGGTGAAAACGACCATTATTGAAATAACGCATCACTAACAATATCTGTCTTTCTAAACCACCACAACGCAGAAAAAACTCATCTATTATCATTTTGGTCCATATTTCAAAACTATGCTGGAGGACACTTCAAAATATTTGGCCATGAGAGCATAATAGATAGATAATTGGATGCGTTTGGCCAGATTTACGGTAGAAGCTCCGCCTCCGCTACCACTGAGAATGCAAGTAGAATATGGGTTGTGTTTAACCAACAATTTAGTCGCGATCATAACATGAAGAACAAAGTAGTCTTAAATTAGACATCCTGTTCTTATGTAGGCGGGAGCTTTTACACCTGCAAAAGTATATAGTTGCACAATGCGCATCTCGGTTACAAGACCGTCGCAAGCCTTAGAAATCATGCCGAAATTGGTGGCAACACACCAATTTTTAATTATGAGAAGACTATCCTCGGATGCAATTGTCAAAATTCCCTACATTTGCACAAGGCATTGTAGTTATCTGATTCAAAAGTTTCGACTGTGCAAGGCATGGTAGTGACATTCAAAAAAGACCAGTGAATTTCGAGTAATCGGTCCCGACATTACGATAATAGGTAATAAACAAAGCACAGGTAGACAAAGTATTTTCTAAACAACGGACCGTGCATAACTAGTGAAAGTACAGCAGGTGTAAGGGCTAAGAACGGCAATAAACTAGATGAATTTACATAAAACGTTGCAGGACTGGATCCTCTCTTATTACCAAAGAACTCACTTATTCAGCTAATCGAGATTTAACAGGTCTAAACCGAACACCAGATAACAAAGCGGGAAGAGACGAGCGACGTCAAACAGCTCCTTTTAAATTGGTAAACGGGATTAAAACCAAAAACAAGAATACTAAATCATAAAAATAAAATAAGACACTATACTCCCCAGAAAGGTAGAATGATAAAAAAAACTAAAAAGGTGTTTAGTAAGGTTGTGTGTAGTGAAGCTGTGGTGCGGCTGTGGTGTGGTGTAGCGGAATGGCAGGCGGCAGCCATATTGGTGACGGTGGTGAGCGCGGCGCGGAGGCGACGTCACGT